TTGTCCCAGCCTTTGCACGGGCAGACGGACAGGACTGAGCTTTCAGGACAGACAGTGAGCCCTATTTTTGCCACATTAAATGCATTTAATTATTTTTTCTGAGTTCCTCAGGAAATCTGAGGCTTTTCAGTGATGGCATCTGAGCTTCGCTAGCAGCAACATTGGATCAATAACCATGTCACTTATTTTTGTCCTGTCTACAGCAAGTTTGGACAATTTCAGCACCCTGTTTTGTAGAGATTTTTTTTTTCCCTTGACAGCACTAGGAAATAACTGTTTTTCCCCCAAGACCCTGCCTGAGATAATGTCTCCTGTCATCTGCTGTTGTTCCTCCGTTGGAATCCCACTCGTGCTGGGTGAGCAGCTGGGTGTGTGAAGCTTCCTTGTGCAGCACACCAGAAGATTTTCCTTTTTTCAGCCTTTTCTCTTGTGCGTGGGGTTGAACTTTTGCATGATTGGTTTATTTGCTCAGGGGCACATTGGATCTCACTGCTCCCTGTAGAATCTAATCTCTCTTACCTGGAAGTTTTTGGAGTTCTCCTGTATTATCTCAGTGGGACAACACCACTCTGCAAACTTAACACTGTTCACACTTCTTCATAACAAAATCCAGGCAGCAAGCTTCTCTTCAACAGGAGCTTTTCAGATTTGTAAATAGGAAAGTTACCTGATTTTAAATGCTTTTGGATCCAGCCTGCTGTTCTCCATCCCATCTGGACACAGATCCTGCTGGAGCTCAGATGCCTCCTGAAACACCCAGGCAAAATCTCTAAGTCATAGGATCATGCACTGGTTTGAGTTGAAAGGGACCTTAAAGACCATCTTATTCCACTCTTGACCATGAGCAGGGACAGCTTCCACTGTCCCAGGTTGCTCCAAGCCCCAACCAACCTGGCCTTGGACACTTTCAGGGATGGGGCAGCCACAGCTGCTGTGAGCCCTGTGCCAAGGCCTCGCCACTCTCACAGGGAAGAATTTCTGTATATCCACCTTAAATTTCCCCTCATGCTTGTTGCTTGGTTGGATTAGTTTCTGGTGGCACAGCCTTGCTGCCCTCACTGGGACGGGTGCTGGCTCCCCTGGATCACCTGCTGGAGGTTCTGAGGGTGGGATCTGGGTGGAGAAGCTCTGGAGGAGCAGAGTGCTCACTGTGCCTTCCTTGGTATGGCCTGTGCAGGCAAAGCCTCTCCACATCCACCTCGCTGATCCAGGCTCTTCCAGGCTGAGGAGCTCTGTGCTGGCATGGGAGAGGGGCCAAGGTCATTTTGGAGAGAGTCTGGGGTCTACCAGTGGGGTGGCTTGTGGTGCAGGCTGTGCTCTGTCCCACCTGAGCTTCCTGCCACGGCTCAGGATGTTGTCCCCACCTCACCTGGCCAGCGAGCCAGCAGTGCAGCCAGCACTCCGTGCTCCTCTGGGGAGCAGGTGGCTGCAGTTCTCACCTGGCTGTGGGAATGCTGTGGGGAGGTGCCCGGGGGGTCGTGGCAGTGGCCAGGGAGTGCCAGCACGGGCTGGATGTGACTGAGCAGTGCCAACCTCTGTCCTGCTGCAGAGGGGAAGGACAGCATCGGCTGCGACCTGCTGCTCAACCCTCCAGGGAGCTCAGACCAGGAGGAAGAGGAGCAAGAAGCAGATAACTTCATGTTTGAGTTCTCAGACAAGCCACTGCTTCCCAGCTACAACCTCCAAGTGTCCGTCTCCCGGGGGTGAGTGCCTTTCCCTGGAGCACAGAGCAGGACCAGGGCTGGCTGCAGCCCTGGCACTTTGGTTGTTCCAGGGGTTAAGAGCTGCTCGTGTATCTCAGGATCATCCCAGAATCCCAGAAGGGTTTGGGTTGGGAAGGGCCTTACAGCTCATCCCGTTCCACCCCTCTGCTATGGGCAGAGACACCTCCCATTAGACCAGGGTGCTCCAAACCTCCTCCAAGCTGGCCTTGGACATTTCCAAGGATGGGGCAGCCACAGCTGCTCTGGGCAGCAAGGGGAAGTTGTGGCTGTGGCACTGGGGAAGTTGGGAAAGCAGTGCCTGGCTTGGCACAGCCTGGAATGTTCTCAGGGAGCAGGGAAGGCTCATCAGGGCTCCCCCCAGCCTCCATGGCCAGGCACATCCTGCTGCCCTGAGTGTCCCTGTGCTGTGCTGGGAAGCTCCCCTCTCTCATCCCTATGATCCTGCTTCTAGCCCCATGTCCCTTTAGCAGCAGCTCACACTGATGGCTCTGAGATGGTTTCCCTTCCACCATGGCCAAATCAGTCCCAGCACTGGAACAGCAGTCCCACCTGCATTCCCCATGACACAGTGCCTGTTGCTGGGGCAAAGGGTGACTTGGAAGAGGCAGCAACCAAAGCACTGCTCTTCCATGCAGCAAATTTCTGTGCCTGCCAGTGTTTGTCCATGCAGAGGGACACGTGCAGCATGCCCTCCAGCAATAAACCACACCAGAAGCTCCATTTCCTGACCATGCGGCTTATTCCTGGCAGGGAAGCTGCCAGGACCTTGCTGAAGGCAGGACTTTCACACCGGTGTCCCTGCCTAGCTGTGAGCGTTTTTAAAAGCTGTGACCTGTGAGGCTGTGATCAAACCCCAGTCCGTGGGCTCCTGGAGGAAATCAGCACATGGAGAGCAGTGCCAGAGGGGAGGGACAGCGTGCCAGGAGGGCCTGCAGCCCCCTCCACCCCAGTAACCCACCGTGCTCTTGCCATCCTCGCAGGCCCTGCAACTGGTTCCTGTTCTCTGATGTGCTCAAGCGGCTGAAGCTGTCCTCCCGCATATTCCAGGCCCGCTTCCCGCACTTGGAGGTGGCCACGCTGCCCCGGGCAGAGTTCCAGCGCCAGGTGTCCCTGAGCCAGGTGCTGGCGCAGGAGGAGGTGCCGGCAAGCCCCGAGCTGGCGCCGGGCACGGCAGAGACTGTGGAGCTGGTGCACTACGAGCCCGAGCTGCTGCAGCTGCTGGGCTCGGCGGTGGAGTACCAGGCCTGGAGCAGCTGACGGGGACAGACCACTCCCGGCATCACGAGGCAATAATAAGGACCAAGGGGAAGCAGCTCTCTCAGCGCCAGCAGCAGGGACCCGAGTCTTTGAGCAGCCGCTCCTCCTCTCCTCAGGGTCTCCGCCAGCTGGGGAGGGAGGACCCTCGCCTCCAAGGACTTCCCGAGGTCCCCCGGCCACGAGCAGTGGCGGTCGCTGCCGCCTCATGCAGCTCCGGTGGGTGATGGAACCCCTGCTCAGAGGGGCTGAATGGGGCAGCGAGGGGTGGGAGCCACCGCCCCTCCCCACCGGACCCTACGGAACTGCGCCTCTCCGTTCGCCCTCCCCCTCCCAATGTCTTCCATAGTATTTATTTAATTAGTATTTAATTTGTAATGTTTTCTTTGTTTTTGCTGAGTCTGTATCACTGTGATGGTGAGCTCCGGGCTGTGGGATGAGGCCGTCCCCGCCCCTCTCCAGCGTGCCCCGAGGCCAGCCAGGCCTGGGGTTCCCGTCCCTCTCCGGCCACAAGCCAGGGGACAGCCCCTTCCCTTGGCTTTGGAGCTGGCTCCCGCTGCCAGCGCTCAGCCGCAGCCGGGAGCCAGCCCCACTGCTCCATCCTCTCCCGTGCTCCTTCCTCCATCTCATTCGTGCTGCTGCTCTCTGTCCCCGGCGGTGCCGCCGGGCAGGCGCAGCCCGCGGCCCCCAGCGCGTCCCCCGCTTCGGCAGCTTGTGCCCCGCTCCCGGAGCCGCTCCCGGAGCCGCTCCGTGCCCCGCGCCCGGAACCGCTCCCGGAACCGCTCCCGGAGCCGCTCCGTGCCCCGCGCCCGCCGCTGTCCCGGGAGCCGCTCTGTGCGGGAGCCGCTCTGTGCGGGAGCCGCTCTGTGCGGGAGCGGGCGCGGGCGTGCTCTGCCTCGGGGCCGGTACAGTTTTATTGTACAGGTGCTAACAGGACTGAGGTCGGGACAATCGGGGGATTTCTGGCTCTCCCCGCTTGGCAGCGGGAGCCTTGGGTGAGTTTTTTTGTTGGTTCGTTTTTTCTTTGTGTTGTGTTTCTCCCCAGCCAGGGCAGGCGTTTCCCCCCTTGGAGCCCTGCTGCCAGCCTTCCCCCGGGGGCCCGGCAGCACTTTCTTTAAGCCAAGGGTTTTTTGCCTTTGGGTGTGTATTCTGGTTGCTCTTTCTGATTTCTGTTTTATTATATGCAGCAACAGGCTGTGGTGTCAAAAACACTGATGTACAGAAAAAACCTGCATCAGGCTCCCTGGCTCCTGCCTTTTTTTCCGTGTCCAGGCAGATTTCTGTGTGTGTCAGCCTGAGTCTGTGGCTCGGGGAAGGGAGAGGGGAAGTGGCCTGTGGGACCTGCAGGGCCCGTGTGTCTGCACAGCTGGAAAAACAGGGAGCCTTCCCTGCTCCTCCCAGCTTCCTGCGTGACCCTGCTGCTGGGAGCTCTGCAGCCAAGCCCAGCCATCCTCAAACACAGATGTCGGGGTAGCCCTGTCTGGCCCCAGCCCCACCAGCCCGTCCGTGGGGCAGCTGGTCCCTGGCTGGCTTTACTCACCCCTGAGGGAGCAGAGGGAGCTCAGGGCAGTGCTGTAGTTCTGTTTGTTTTCTCAGAAAGGGCTGCAGGAATGCCCTGATGCCAGGACCAGGAGGAGAGCTTTGCCCACACACCACCAAGAGGAACTCCCCGAAGTGGTACAGGAGAAGTCAAGGCAGGTCTTAAAAAGAGAGGGGGAGAGGTGCTCCTACCCCCACACCAGGGAGGCTCCTCATGAGCCTAAGCAGGTGAAGCCTTAGGGAAAACTCACCAAATTTATGCTCTGAAATGTTCACTTGGATATCAGGTGGGTGGGAGGGAGCTGACAGGGTTCAGTTGAGGGCTGGCCACCAGCACCAGCCCGGGGATCTGAACCAGGCAGAGGCTCTGCTTGGCTGGAGGAGCACGGGGGCTCTCCCGCTCAGCACGGGCCATACCTGCAGCCGACTTTCTCCTGATGGACCAGGCACAGCTGGGCACGATTAGAGGAATGAAATATTTTATTAAAACTGATTCATCTCAATGAGCCATGGCCAGGAGTAGGGCGGCAGTGTCATCCATCCCCACTTCTCTGGCGTGCCGCGCTCAGGACGTTTTGGCTGCCTGGAGCAGCGGCTGTCCCCGGGCCCCTGCAGGGTGCTGGCAGCAGGAGGCTGTCCAGATGTGCAGGAGCGCCAGAACGCCCTGCACAGCTGCGAGGGTGGCTGCTGCTGAGCCGGGGCACCAGTGCCTGTGGAGCGGGCAGAGCCATGGGCCTTGCTCTGTGTCCTCCTGTTGTTTTGAGGAGAAGCTGAATTCACTTGTCTTGGAGTCTCAGTCTGTGTCTTCTGGTCAACCATGAGGGGAGCAGCTGAGTTTTTCTCCTGTTCTGCCACAAGATCTGTCTGTGTCATCTGCTCAGTGTATTGAACAGCTGAATCCACCTCTTGGGCCCAGGCCTCAGTCTGGGTTTCCTGCTCGGCACGGTGAGAGGCCTCTCTCTGTGGGTCAGGAGATGGTTTCCTCACGGAGGCCTGGAAGGAGAGGTGGGGATTTGTAGAGGACACTGGGCTTCCCCCAGCAGCGGCCGCTGGGACAGGGGTGCAGGAGCTGCTGGGCCTGCGGTGCTGCGGGAAGGGGAAGCCTGGTCTGGCCCTCTGTGCTCGGCCCTCACCGGTTCCGGCCCCACCGGGCCGCTGCAGGCCCGGCGGCTCCTCACGGGCGGCTGCTGGGCCAGGACGGGCGGCTGTGAGGAGCCAGCAGGGTGGGACCTGCGCCCCCGCGGGCCTCGTTCCCCCTTGTCCGGGCTGGGACGGCTCTCGGTGCCCCCCGAGCCCAGGGAGCTGCGGGGCGATGTCAGCCGGGACACGGACTGGTCCTCGGTGTCCCCGGTACTGCTGGGCAAGGTCAGCCGGGACCGGGACCAACCCTCGGTACTGCGGGGCAAGGTCAGCCGGGACCGGGACCAACCCTCGGTACTGCGGGGCAAGGTCAGCCGGGACCGGGACCAACCCTCGGTACTGCGGGGCAAGGTCAGCCGGGACCGGGACCAACCCTCGGTACTGCGGGGCAAGGTCAGCCGGGACCGGGACCGGCCCTCAGTGTCCCCGGTATTGCCAGGTGATGTCAGCCGGGACCGGGACCGGCCCTTGGAGCTGCCGGGCAATGTCAGCCTGGGCAGGGCCTGGTCCTCGGTGCTGCTGGGTGATGTCAGCTGGGACTGGGACCGGCCCTTGGTATCCCCGGTATTGCCAGGTGATGTCAGCCGGGACTGGGACCGGCCCTTGGAGCTGCGGGGCGATGTCAGCCTGGGCACGGACTGGTCCTCGGTGTCCCCGGTACTGCCGGGCAATGTCAGCCGGGACCGGGCCTCGGAGCTGCCGGGCGATGTCAGCCGGGACACAGATGGGCCCTTGGTGCTGCTGGGCAATGTCAGCCGGGACCGGGACCGGCCCTCGGTGTCCCTGGTACTGCGGGGCGATGTCAGCTGGGACCGGGACCGGCCCTTGGAGCTGCTGGACGATGTCAGCCGGTGCAGGGACCGACCCTGGGTGTCCCCGGTATTGCCGGGCGATGTCAGCCGGGACACGGACCGGCCCTGGGTGCTGCGGGGCGATGTCAGCCGGTGCAGGGACCGGCCCTTGGAGCTGTGGGGTGTTGTCAGCCGGTGCAGGGACTGGCCCTGGGTGTCCCCGGTATTGCCGGGCGATGACAGCTGGTGCAGAGACCGGCCCTGGGTGCCCTGGGTGCCGCGGGGCGATGTCAGCCTGGGCATGGACCGACCCTGGGTGCTGCGGGGCGATGTCAGCCTGGGCATGGACCAGCCCTGGGTGCTGCGGGGCGATGTCAGCTGGTGCAGAGACCGGCCCTGGGTGCTGCGGGGCGATGTCAGCTGGTGCAGGGACCGGCCCTGGGTGCTGCGGGGTGTTGTCAGTCGGTGCAGGGACCGGCCCTGGGTGCCCTGGGTGCTGCGGGGTGTTGTCAGTCGGTGCAGGGACCGGCCCTGGGTGCCCTGGGTGCTGCGGGGTGTTGTCAGTCGGTGCAGGGACCGGCCCTGGGTGCCCTGGGTGCTGCGGGGCAATGTCAGCCGGTGCAGGGACCGACCTTGGCCAGCCTGAGGCTGCCGCAGCTGTGGACGGGAGGAGGAAGAGGTGTGCGATGGAGGCAGCTGCCTGGGCAGGGTGCTGGTACTCCTGGTGCCATCCTCCTGTTGGCCACTCCCTCTGTCTCTCAGGTGGTCCTTCTCCTTGGAGCTCTTGGGACTGGCATTCTGCTCCTCCATGGCTCCTTTTCCAAAGGTGTCCTGGGAGGCTGCTGCTTCCTGAGCAAGGTGTTCTGCTTGACTGGGTACCCCGGGGGAAGTTCCTTAAACACCCCACGGGCAGGATGGGGCCCTGCTGTGTCACAATGGCCCTTTGGTGTCACAATGGCCCTTGGGTACCACGAGGCCCTGCATCACCCAATGCAGTTGTCAGGTGTGTTGGGTTTGCATGGCCAGGTTTTGGCAGCAAGGAGGCTAGAGGGATGGATTGTGTAAGAAATTGCCAGAACTTTGCCCATGTCGGGCACAGCCAATGCCACCGGCTCCAGGATGCACCCACTGCTGGCCAAGGCTGAGCCCAGCAGAGATGGTGGTGACACCTCGGGGATAAAAGGTTTAACTGCAGCTCATGGGAAGGACTCCTGCTGGAGAAGTTCATGGAGCACAGGCTCCTGTGGGAGGGAGCCCACACTGGAGCAGGGGAAGGACTACAGCCCTCTGTCCACTCTGTGAGCAGGGACAGGAACGTGTGATGAACTGAGCACGGCCCTCATTCCCCGTTTCCTTGTGACGATGGGAGAGAGGAAGGAGAGCCCAGGAAGGAAAGGGAGGGAGGGGAAGTGTTTCTAAGATTTGTTTTACTTCTCATCATTGTGCTCTGATTTTGATTGATAATTGATTTCCCCAAGCTGAGTCTGTTTCGACAGGCTAGAGAACAGGCAGAGAGCCTGCAGGCCTGCTTGCTCCCCAGTGGGAATTCCTGCAAGGAAAGAGGGAGTTCTGCAGGCTTCTCCAAGGCTGACACAAGGGAAAACTGACCCCAGTGGGGCTGCACGTTCCCCTTTCCCCACCAGCCAGGCAGTGGTGCAGGAAGGAGCAGGTGACTACAACAATCTGACTTTATTGGTGCAAACAGTGGGCTTGGGTGAGTGGAATATTCCCAAGTGCTCCCAGGAAGCTGCCCAAGGTGCAGGGGTGCACAGAGCCAGCAGCCCACTCCCTCGGGCTGTTCCTGCTGCGGAGTTCAGTCTTCGTGGATGTTGAAGAGCTTTGCTACTTCGTTAAGGTCCTCGTGCTCCTCCCCATCTTTGATGATCTGGAGGAAGGAGAACACATTAAATCCCACACATCCTGTAAAGAGCCAGTGCTGCAGGACTGGCACAGCTAAGGCCAGGAACTCCTTGGATCCTGACTGAGACAGCCACGACACAACAAATTCACACGGGAGTCCCAAATGTACCATCACCTGCCGACAGGAACAGCAGGAAAACCAACCTCCTGTCCCCGTGGGATTTGTTTCTGGGCTTCCCTTTACAGCCAGAGAGAACAAGTGTTTTAAAAAAGTGATTCAGCTCTGCAAAGGTGAGCCTGGCGCTGGCTTGGAGCCAGGATACCTGGCCTGAACCTGCAACTTCTAGACAAGATGAAGAGACCATGGATTTAGGGTAAGGACTGCTAAGGGAGGGAGGGAGGAAAGGAGGAAGGCAGGAAGGAAGGCAGGATCCTCCCTTCCCTAGGGATGGCAGAAGCAACATGTTTCATCTGCATCTTCAGATTAGATATCAACAAAGACTTTCAACATGAATAGTTTGTCTTGGGACAGATCACCCAAGGGTAGTGTGGGATCATTCCCATAATTTAAACAACCAAAATTCTTCAAGGGTGTTAAAACCTGACCCGGCTCTGACTCAGCTGAGCTGGGAGGTGCAGGACAGGCCCACGGGGGTGGAGACACACCAAACCCTGCTCAGGACTGCTCCAGCCACGGTGCCTGTTTCTGGAATGGTGACATTTGAGACTGTTCCAGGCGCTTGGTCATGGGACAAGGCAGCACAAGGATGGGACATTTCAGGCCTGTGCCGTCACTGTGACTCCAGCCTGTACTTACCACAGACCTGGAGTTCCAGCCATGCTGAGGCAAGGCTTGGAGCACACACCCCATTTATTTGTGTAAAAAATTGGCAAAAATACAAAAATGCACAGGGACAGCTCCCCCAATTCACCCAGAACAGTGCTCCCACTGCATACTGCCCAGCTCTACACCAGACACAGCATCTGCCTTTATTTATCCTCACTTTGAATTGACAGATTGATTTTTCCACAAGAAAAGCCCCGCTCTAGCAAACCCCCCTGTCCATCATCCCCGCCCTGCACTGACCTTCCGAGCAATGGGCATCCTGTTGAAGATGTTCCACAACACGATTCCCACCACGACTTTATCCCTGAGGTAGAAAATAACACCTTTGCCGTAATCTTCTCCTTGCTTTGGGACTTGAGGCGTTGGTGAAGAGCTTTGAGAGATCTGAACTTCTGAGGCTTCCGCTTCCGTTTCGCTCTCAGATCGAATTCCAGTCCCTAAGGCAGAAATAGGAGGAGTCACACACCCAGGGCAGGACATGTGATGATGGGAGCAGACTCAGGAGTTCTGCAGGAGCCTGAGGTGTTTCCCTTTGAATTGTGCTCCCCAAAAGTTAAGTTTCATTAACACAAGGATGAAAACAATCCTAACATGGAGCACAACACTGACAATCCCCAACTTCCACCCCCAAATGCAAAGGGCAGCAGAGTGTGCTTGCTCCAGGCAGCAGATACAAAATAAACATGCTTGGATCCAGAGTCTCTGCTGTCCCAAACGGATCCTTTTATTGCCACGGAGGAGATCAAACTTCCCTGGGAAAGTCTGCATGGCAGTACAAGCGTTCCCTGATGTGATCTTAGAGGAATGTTGTGTTTTAATCACATTTTAATATGAAAGCTCAGCCTTTAAAGCTTGGTCCAGAAATGAGAGAGCATACTGCTGTTTCCTCGTGCTCTCAGAGGTCAGGGTGACTCTGTGGTCCCCACAGCAGCTCGTGCAGGAGCTCCCCAGTCCCCACCTGACTGTTCTGTCGCACTCTTCGGCGTGTCCTTCGCTGTTGCCTTGGCAAACACTCCCACTGTGGGCAAACTGCTGTCCACGAGGCCAATGGCTTCGTACCCCACGTTGGGGCCCAGATCACTCCTAGGGATGAAGTGGGAATAAAGTAACTTGCAGCAGCAGTGAGACAAATCCAAGGCAGTTCCATCCATCCGTGCTCCAGGCCTTGCTCCAGCGTGGCGTGGGCGGTGCTGGACATTGAGGCACGGAGTCTCCTCTGCGCTCACAGGTGGAACAAGGAGTCAAGGCATGACAAGCCCATGGCCATGAGCTTCAGAAAAACCAACTCACTGACCAAAACTTAGAAATCCTTCAGGCCTGCTCTCTGGGAGGCAGCTGGAGGCATCCCAGCTTCCAGCAGTGCTGTTACCCACACCAGGCTTGGCAGCATGGTCTGTCATTCAGAGAATATTTTTGAGAGCATTTAGGAAAGACTAAAGAGAAGAAAACCTTGCCCTAACACCTTCTTGAACTGGGCACCTGGATCTGAACTGGGGTGCTGATAGGAGAGCAAGCAGCTGTGGTTTGGCACCAGGAAGTGAAGTGTTTCCCAGGATGCTGAGGAGACAGGTCCATCACAAACCCACGAATCCACGCACACCTCCCTGGCCAGAATCCTCCAGCACACACTGGGGTTACTGCAAGGAACACCAGTAACACGGCAGCTGTGATCAGCTGGAGCTCAGGAGGGATCATGGAATGATTTGGGTTGGAATGGGCCTCAAATTCCCGTTTCATTCCACTCTTCTACTCTGTCATTCCATGGACAAGGACACCTCCCACTGTCCCAGGCTGCTCCCAGCCCCATCCAGCCTGGCCTTGGACACTTCCAGAGATCCAGGGGCAGCCACAGCTGCTCTGGGCACCCTGAGCAAGGGCCCATCACCCTCAGAGGGCGAGATTTCTTCCATATATTGAATTTCCCCTCTGTCAGTCTGGAGCCACTCCTCCTTGTCCTGTCACTCCAGTCCCTCTCTGGCTTCCTTGCAGCCCCTTCGGATGCTGTGAGGTCTCCACACAACCTTCTCCCCACGAGCATCAGGATCCTGAGCACACTAACAAAATGCATGAGGGATTCCTGTCATTTCCCAGCTCCTCAGCACGGGGGAAGGAAGTGTCACTCTGTGAGGGCTGGCACAGTGTGACACCTGCCAGCAACCACGGGGCTGCGACTCACAGCCCTCCCTCACCTGCAGCTGCTCATGGCTGAGAGCATCCCAGGGGAAAGCACCCCTGGGAAATGCCTGCCCCTGTGTCCTCGGCTGCACTTGGTGACCTCTGAAGTTTTTCCCAGCCTCCAGGATTCTGTGGCTCTATGTTTCTTGTTTAAAAGTGAAGTGAGAAATGCTCTGGGCCCTGAGTCCAGGCGGGACAGACCAAGAGTTCAGGTAAGTGATAGCAAGTCGTAAATAACTATTTCTGTGGGGATTTCCCTGAGAAAACTAAAACTCTTTTACCCATATTTGAAATCCTGTTAACAAACAGGATTTGGGATTTTTGATTGGCCTAACAGCTTTCTGCATTTTAATTTTTTTGTGGGGCTTTGTTTGGTTTTTCTGTTTTCATACATTTTGTTTTAAAAAGAACTGCAGGAAAATACAGCAAAATTTCCCATTTTCCTGATACCTCTCTCTGGAAAACAACTTTTCAGACACACCTGCATGCAGCAATGCTTCGCTACTGAAACATCAGTTCAGCAAAGTGCAACACTCAGACTGGGCTGGGGAACTTCAGATAACTGTAACAGAAATGCTGCTGCTAAATTCAACCTGTAAGTCAGGCTGCTTTGAGGAAAGGGCTGTTCTGTGTTGCTCCTTGCTCTGTGGAATGGGACTCGCTCAGGGAGAAACTGGGATCTACAGGAAGGAAAAACACTTGAGGGAGGTGAGGGCAGAGCAGCAAATGCTCAGACACCTCCCCCGCCCTGAGCTTTAGGAACACGAGGCTGTACAAGGTGTTTGCTGAGGTGGTTTCACTCCTCTTGGGAAGCAGACACTCCCCGAGGTGTATCTTGTACAGGCTCCTGCAATGTGGCCAACCAAGGAACCCCCAAGGAGGAAAGGACCATTACCAGAACATGGACTGGTGCCAGTAGGGTTTTGCAGCTCCTGTCATGTTCTCTCCAGCCAGTCTCCCGCTCACCACGGCGTGATCGTGGTGCTCCACACGCCTCCGGCCCAGTTTGATGTCATAAAAGCAGGCAGCATCCCCTGCCTTGGAGAGAAGCAGCCCGTGAGCAGCGCGGCAGGGAGAGCTTCCACCCAACAAAACACGTCGGGGAGAGGTGGAACAAGGAACTGAGTCCTTCTGACAAACCCCAAACACCAACACTACCTCATCCCACTCCCTGGACTACACAACTCCCAGTTTCTCGGCGTTTTTCCCCAGTCTTTGGAAAAATAAAGCAGCATGAGGTACGTTTTCCAGAGGAATCAAGTCTCAACGCCCACCAAGGGACTCTTATGCAAGCGAGTGATCCAGGCTATCTTTAGGTTACCCCAACTCCTCTTACACAGCATAAATATTCCAAACTTGCCGTGGTTACCACGGCAACCAGGCGGCTGCAGTGCCTGACCAGGCTCTGGGCCTGCGCTACAACCGCTCTCCCTGCTCTCCTTACTCGCTCCTGCTCACCCCATTCACCTCCTCCTGTCACTGCAGGGTCCCACTGCAGCAGCACAGCTGGGACACTGCCCACTCACACCCAGATGTGTGACACTGCCCACTCACACCCAGATGTGGGACACTGCCCACTCACACCCAGATGTGGGACACTGCCCACTCACACCCAGATGTGGGACACTGCCCACACTCACACCCAGATGTGGGACACTGCCCACTCACACCCAGATGTGGGACACTGCCCACACTCACACCCAGATGTGGGACACTGCCCACTCACACCCAGATGTGGGACACTGCCCACACTCACACCCAGATGTGGGACACTGCCCACTCACACCCAGATGTGGGACACTGCCCACACTCACACCCAGATGTGGGACACTGCCCACTCACACCCAGATGTGGGACACTGCCCACACTCACACCCAGATGTGGGACACTGCCCACTCACACCCAGATGTGGGACACTGCCCACACTCACACCCAGATGTGGGACACTGCCCACACTCACACCCAGATGTGGGACACTGCCCACACTCACACCCAGATGTTGTGTGACACTGCCCACACTCACACCCAGATGTGGGACACTGCCCACACTCACAACCAGATGTGGGACACTGCCCACACTCACACCCAGATGTTGTGTGACACTGCCCACACTCACACCCAGATGTGGGACACTGCCCACACTCACAACCAGATGTGGGACACTGCCCACACTCACACCCAGATGTTGTGTGACACTGCCCACACTCACACCCAGATGTGGGACACTGCCCACACTCACAACCCAGATGTGGGACACTGCCCACACTCACACCCAGATGTGGGACACTGTGCCCACACTCACACCCAGATGTTGTGTGACACTGCCCACACTCACACCCAGATGTGGGACACTGCCCACACTCACCACCCAGATGTTGTGGGGGCTGTGCCCACACTCACACCCAGATGTTGTGGGGGCTGTGCCCACACTCACCACCCAGATGTTGGAGCGCGCCTGCAGCTCTGCGTTCACCCGGAACCCCCCGAAGTCCGAGTCCACCTCCAGCCCCGCTGACTTGGCCAGTTCCACGTTGGGCTCCAGCCCCACGGCAGCCACAATGTGATCAGTCTCCACCTGTTTGGGAATGCAGAATCAGGATGGTAATTCCCTGTGTGCCCTGCACACGTGACTCTCTCCCTGCTTTCCCGTTTACCTTCCGGCCGTCCTTCAGCTTAATCACCAGCCGGTTGCCGGAGACAGAGACGGATTTGACCACGGCATTGGGCAGGACGTTGACCCCCTCTGGAAAGGAGCACAGGACACGTCACTGCCTGCTCAGGGCAGGTCCCACCTGCAGCAGGTGGCTGGTGCAGACAGATGCCCAGTGAGGAACTGAGACAGAGCCCCTCGAGCTTTGCTGCATGTGCTAGTGCAGCTCTGGGGGAAGCACGAGCAGAAACCCAGCTAAAAAGTCTGAAAGCTGCTGAAATGACAATCAAAATCTCATGTGATGACAAGGTCACACCCAAAAAAATTCCTGGGTGTCCCCAGGAGCAGCTGCCCAGCAGCCAGCAGCCCAAACCCGCTCAGCAGCTTCACCTCTCCTGACTTTCTCCGTGGTCCAGTTGCTCAGGTATTCGGGCAGGACTTTGCCCATGTTGCCGTTCTCTGGAAACAGCTGGATCACCTCCAGGCCCCGGGTTTGTGCTGGAAGGGAAGCACGGAGCAGCAGGATAAAGAGCAGCAGCAGATGTTGGGACACACACACTTTACACAAGGAGCTTGACAGAAGTTTCCCAGTCTGGAAGTTCTGACTCCTACGGAGTCACAAAGTGACTGTCTACTGTTTCACACACACCTGCAAAGTCTAGATAACAGACTTTTAGGGAAAATGCTTGGAATTTTGGCAAAAACTTAAAAAAATTACCATAAAGGCCCTACACCCTCAGTGACAGTTTGAATCCAGCTGCTCACCACCTCTTTGAAATCACAGAATTACAGGATGCTTTGGCTTGGAAGGGACCTCAAAGATCATCCAGTTCCCAAAACCCAAAATCATAGTTTGAGGGTGGTGTTGAGCACAGAGAACAGATTTCAGAGTGACTTTTCAGAGGGTGGGATGGCTGCAGCTTGCACTGGCCTGCAGAGCTCCCACCACTGTGGTCAGGGGCTGGGAAAACCTTGGTCACACAGGCAACAAAACACCGAGCCTGTGCTAAAACTGAGCAGTTGAGGACTTACAAGAAGTTTCTAATGTGGGGCTGCTGCCACTCAGTGCCTGTCACAGCTGGGGACACACGCTCACCTCTCCTTCCCAGAGCGCAGGCCAGCTCGCTGCCGAGGAAACCACCACCAATAATTGTGATGGACTTGACTTCCCTGGAAATCTTCTCCAGCCTTCGGAAGTCCTCGATCTGAAAGAACATTTGCCCCCATTTCCAATCCTCTCTAACAGGAATGGCAGCAGAAAGCATTTTGGTCATATTCAATGGTCTTCATTCACTTTGGAAGGTGCAGCAAAGTCACCAGGAGGGAAAATTTAGAAAAAATACCTAAACCCTCTAATTCCACACAGAGTTACAGCTCTCAGGGTGAGGCAAGCAGGTGAGTGGTTGAGTAGACTCTACCCTGATTTCTTGCCTGGGAAAAAGAATAAGCAGGCCATGGATTCCTGGGCATCATTTGAGGGAAGCAGTGCCAAGGCAGGCCTGTCCCCACCCAAAGCAGAAGAGGTAAGAACTGAAAAGAGTGCTAAGTGTCTCTGATGTATTCAGCCTCACTGGGACTGGCAGCACCTGGAGGAGGTTACCTTTCGGAACAGGGTCAGCCTTTTCTGCACGTCCTTTCCTGCTCTTTCGATGGCTGGCAGGTTCCTTGGGGATCCCCCTGGGCACAACGAGGAGAGAAGGGAGACTAATGACACCACAGCCATGGCACTGGATATCCAGACAGTGCAAAGCTGCCTTGGACCTCAGTTGTGCTTCCCAAACTGTTCCAGTACAAGAATATCCCAGTATCCCTGTTGCTGCCTGGATGTCCCAAAAAATCTGATGATTCAAGGCAGGAGAAAACCCAGCATGGCTGTCTGCACAAGTGTCCTTCATGTGACTGCTCCACATCATGTTTGACACCGCAGAGACTTCTTCTCAAATAGGACCAAAGAATGCTTGGGTTGGAATGAACCTTAAAGCTGATGCAGTTCCACCCCAGCCATGGCAGGGACACCTCCCACTGTCCCAGGCTGCTCCAAGCCCCGGTGTCCAACCTGGCCTTGGGCATTCCAGGGATCCAGGGGCAGCCCCAGCTGCTCTGGGCAACCCAGTATCCCATGGAACCCTGCCCTCTGGCATTCCCCATTGTCCTGACACTACAGACCCTTGTCCAAAGTCCCTCTCCAGCTCTCCTGGAGCCCTTTGAGGCACTGGAAGGTTCAAACATCTCCCCAAAGCCTTCTCTTTTCCAGGCTGAATTCTCCACAGGGGAGGTACTCTAGAGAATTTATCTATCTCTAGCTAAATGTCACTGAAATAAAAAGCCTGGCACAAGACCAGGAACAAGAGAGAGAACACAGCACTTACCAGTGGCAATGAGACATTTGTCGTAGGATATCTGGGTCCCATCACTGAGCTTGACCGTGTTCCCTCTGACATCCATGTGCACAACCTGCAAGATGAACCCAGCTCAGCCCGAGCCCTTCACTTCGTGGGCTACTGAGCAGAGTTGCAAACTTGGAATTAACACTCTCCCACCTTTAGGTTTAGGGTTTAGGGAGAGGGGAAGTGAGAAGACTGGAAGTGGGAATTGAGACAACTTCTCTGGAAGTCTCTGTAACTCAGGTTGATCTTCCCAGGGCCTGAGTGTGAAATGGGCTCAGACACAGCACGGCTCAGCAGGCAGAGGAATCACTGACATTTATCATAGCAACACACAAACAACTGAGGATAGAAATATTTTGGAAGGTTCACCATAAATTTCTCCACTTCCTGCTGCTCTGGCACAGTGCTCCTGCTCACCTCATCACCCACTACCTCGATCTCTGTGTTCTCCTCACCTTCCCCCCAGTCCACACAGCCCAGTTCCCACTTGCCACACCCCATCTCTAAGCTCTACATACTTTTGTCCCATGCCCAGACTCCGAACTCATCCTTCTCTCCTCCTCATCATCTTCCCTCAGCTCACTGCTATTCCTCTTGGCTTCTCCCACTTCCAAACTTCACCTCAGATTAGCATAATCTCTGGTCCATCACATTTTTCCCAAATTTACCCAAATTCCCCTTCCCAGTCAGCTTCCCCTGCAAGTCCAGTGGTTCAGTACCAGCTTAGAGAGCAGGCTCTGCTCAGGAAGAGCTGTAGGAACAAGAGCCACTGCTGTACCCACCTTCTTGCCAGGCAGAACTGCCACCCCACCATTTTCCACAGAAGACAGGTCCTGGACAGGCACGTAGAAAGACGGCGGCTGGAAATAGATACTGAGAAAAGCTCCGTTATCAAACAGGTTCCCCTTGCTCTGGGATACCAGAAATCTTCAGGAAGTCCAGTGAGACAAAGACAGCTCTGTGCATCCATAAGAAGCTCCACAATTAATTATCTATTTTTAAGAATTAGGGTCTTCACACTGTTGAAGTTCGGATCACGGAATCATGGATTGGTCAGGTTGGAAAAGATCATGAAGTCCAACCACCAAGTAAGGCTCAATCACAGAAGTCCCAAAAATCAAGTGTGATCCCGTGTCTCTGGAGCTCTGCTCTAACCTGTGGAACTTCACCTTCATTAACCAATTTCCCAGGACTCCTGCCCACAGAGGGACACGTCTGCAGGGAATCACAGCAAAGTTCAAGAGGTACCGAGCACTGAGCGAGCTCCGGCGGGATGCAGAATTCCTCAACCCCTGCCAACACCCTCCCCTGCCCCTCAGTGCTCCACTGGCTCTCTCCCAAGGACAGTTTGGTCACTGTCACCGAGTCACTAGCCACTCTCCTTTGCCCTGGCACCTGCAGTGCCACCTACCTCCTCTCCTTGCCGTTCCACTGCTTGAACCGCAGCGTCTCCGTCACGTCGGGATCATCGGAAAACCACAGCTCTTTGGAAAGGGGTGGGCGCATGTAGGGCAGGGCAGGGTCTTCAGACACAATCAGCACCTTTAATTGGCCAGGAAACTCATCAGCTGGAGCGGGAGCAGGCAAAAGGGAGCCCACGCAGTGCTCCGGAGCAGGACAGCTCTTACCCGCGCTCCGGGGTCGCGGGCCCGGATGGATCTGGCAGCAGCGAAAGCAGCAGTTCCTCCCCCGATGAGCAGGAAAGGGACGTGGGATGGGACCGTGGGATGAGTGTCTGGAGCTGCAGGTGACAGATGGGACAACTTACTGCAAATGCAGACACATGGCCCAGCCCCAGGGCACAGAGTGTGTCACCAGGGGCCTTCCACATCCAGACTTCCTTTGGAAATTGTCCTCCTTCTGCCCCAGAACCCCACTGCTGCTTCCCCCAAAGCTGCTCCCCGCAGGAATCAGTCAGATTTCTGCAAACTGCTTTTTCTAAGCAAGCCCTAAACTCTGCACTGGCCAACCAGTGAATAGTTTATAAGAAAAGAAAGTTCCCCAAAAGGCCAAGGCATGTTTTTCTGTAATTCTGCTCAAGGAGACAACTTTTGAGTTCCTGCAGAAAGCACCTCCTCCCACAGGCAGGTCCTGCTGCTGAGCAACACGTGGTTAATCCATGGGCAGGGACAAACCAGGCAGTTCAGCATCAGCACCAGAACTCAGGGCTGACTCCAGGATGAACAGGCTCTCCAGCAGCCAGGGAAAGAGGCCCTCTGGAATCAGTGTCCTTGCCAGGCTGTGCAGAGGTAAAAGGCAGAAGCAGGGCTCACTCTTTTCTCTTTTTATCACAGAAGGAGTAAATGACAGAAATCAGCCCCAGGAGACATCCTGCTTCATCCTCAGGATTGTCTGTAAAACAGCCTGTTCTGGGTCATGGAGCCAGCAGTGTCCTCTGTGCTGGGAAGTCACAGAACAACAGAATCCCAGAATGGGTTGGGTTGGGAGAGACCTTAAAGCTCATCCAGTTCCACCCCCTGCCATGGCAGGGACACCTCCCACTACCCCAGGCTGCTCCAAGCCCCATCCAACCTGGCCTTGAATGGGAATTCGAAACAACGGCACCCTGAGAGGTGCAATCCTACAAAGGCACATCTGTGCTTCCAGAGAGGCTCTGTTCTGTTTGTTTTGGGGGTCTCAAGCTCATGAAGAACAGAGCCAACCCTGACCTGGCAGGCTGGTACCCACCCGGGGCAGGGGAGTCATCGTCTTGGGAGCGCCGGTTGATCCTCGCGAGCCGGCTGGCGTATCGCTCTTTGCTGTCCTGCAGTAATTTGTACACCTGCAGACAGACAGGAGACATTTGTGCACCTTACAGCACCGAGGCACCATCCTGCTGCTGCCCCTGACAGGCTTTTGTCCACCCACCACGTGCTGGAAAAGCCAGTGGCAACGAGAGGGGCAAAATACACATCCCTGGATTGAGAATGTGCTCAGAAAATGGCCTGCTCCACGTGGTGCGAGGAGCCTCGCGTGTCTGGCTGCTTCCCAGAAGCAATCAACCCTCCTGCAGGTGTTTGGCTGCACACCTGCTCCAAGGGGAACCAGCTCCAGTGAAGGAAATGCAGCCAAACCAGCCCCAGCACCCCATGCAAGCTGGGCCATGACACAACACAAGGCTGCAGAAATGGACGACAAATCCAAAGAAAAAGCATCTCCCAGCTCCCAAAGCCCAGAGCAGCTGGGCAGAGCCAACACCTGACTGGCTTTCTCTGGGCACAGTGGTGCCAGGACACCCTGACATTAGCAGGGCCTCGAGCCACGGCTGCTCCAGGCACTGCCCTTGGCCATGGAATCTCTTCCAGCTGAATGCTGACCTGTTTATTTGACTGTGAAACTCGGGAACCAGCACAAGCAGAGCCTGAATGTACAATTTACTGGTACAGACAAGGAGGGAACATCGCTCACGTCATGTTAACTTCCAAGAAAAACTGGTCATGGACAGGAGCTGAAGACACTGGGAGTGCTGGGAGCAGGTCAGAGTCCAGGATTCTTCCCCAAGGGTAAAAAATTAGAGGGAAGAAAAGCTTTCTTTAAGGCAAAACCCAGCCTTGCTGATAATCTCTGTCATGTGCATGACATCAAATTTCATTTGCCAATTCTCACAAGCTGGTGTTGTACAGCAAATAGTCTCAAACAAGAATGGAGGAATTTAACACCAGGCACAAAAAAAGAGCACAGGACAAAAGCCCGTCCAGGGAATTGGAGAAATGTCAGAAATATTAGAAAACAAGAACTTGTTGGTGTTTAGGAGAATTAAGATAATGGTATTTTTAAAGCCTTTTGCTCAAAGACAGAAAAGCCAAGGTTAACAAACCACCTCTGCTTTTACAAGCAGAATCAGGAAGGTTTTAAGCGAGTCCAAAGGGCAGCATACAGCAAATTAAATCTGATCCTTTAGGAGAAAACACTATTATGCACAGGCAAAACATCAGATCAGGCCTTGAGGATAAATATTTCCAATGGGACAATGTCAAATTCTTTCTAGTCAGAAGCAGAACTTTGCCAGGACATGGGGTGATGTTTCAGTGCTCTTCCCCGAGGAAACCACCAAGCTGAACAATTGCCTTCCCTTTAGCACATTTATATTCAGATATTGTTTCCTTTTCTGCATGCCAACATCACTGACATCAGGAGAGGTGCACTAATTAATAATCTGTGCCCTTACACAAACCAAAGATGGCCAGTTTGAGTTTAGATTTACTTAATGTGGAAAGGTTAATTCTAAGGTAGGTTTCCCCACCAAGAGCTGCACCACCTGAGAATACTCAATTTATAACCTGAAATTATTTGGCAATGTCCCTTGAAAATGAAGTACCTGAGGCCAGGGAGCACGAAGAGGGCTGGAAGTGAAGGGTCACAGGGTGGGAGGTACAGACAGGTGCCCCCCTCCACCCTCCCACCCCACAAACACCTTTAGGGAAGCGTCTTACATAAACTCCTGTCCCAGTGACTGTTCCTCCCACTATTAAGTATAACAAGAGGTTGCTGCCAGCTTTGCCAGGAACACCTGAAGACGTCAGGGATCTAGAAGGGCATCTTAGCTGATGGCATTGCAAAACTGCAGGGGAAGACAGGCAATGGAAGAGAAGAGGGAAAGAGCTGAATATTAGGAAGGATTCTTGATTAAACAGGTCTTGGGAAAAGCAGAGCGCGCTTTGTAATTTCAGCTACCTTGTCTGCCAATAAAAAAGGGCAGCAGGGCACAGGAAAGAATTATATTTAAAGGAAATAGGAAAATATTGTTCTTCCATGCACTGTTGTGATTTTTTTTTTTCCCCTTTCCCAGGAGCTTCCTTAGAAGAAAACTGGAATTTGGAACTTTTAATGAATATGATCCTCCTAGAGAATGAGCTTGGAAACAAAGATTTGTGTGGTTCAAACTCGAGATCTATCCACTCCCAGGCAATGCTGATACTCTTCAGCTCTTTGGGAATGTCATTTACTCTTTCAGTGAGGCTGAAAACCTTTATCCTTTTCAAGAAGAACATAAATGCTCCCCAGCTGGCAGTTGATTTGGTATACTTACACAAGTTAAACAAATGTTCTGAACTGAGATTTGTCAAGGAATTGTTCGTCACAAGACAACAGACAGAGCTGTGGCTGGTCACAACAAAAAAAAACAAAACCCAAGAGTGCCTTTAAGGCAAAAAAACTTAAAAGGTAACTGAAATTACAATTAAAACCCAAGTAATCGTAAGAAGTTAATTTCCATTTAGCTCCCCTTGAAGTTTTCTGAAGGAGGAAACAGAGATAAAGCTACAGAGATCAAAAGCTGAGTAAAGAGAGCTGGAATACAGCAAATGCTCGACAGGAGAGATGGATTGCGGCTTCTTCCCAGGAACCACCTTCTACTTACATAGGCACCTGCTCCTAAGGTGGACAAGCCCATAATAAGGACAAAAACCGAATTACTGCCCTTTTTTCCAGGCACGCCTGTGCTAGCCACTTGTCTGCTCAGCTGCAGGTCTGGGGGCACATTCCAGCGCTGCAACAACGTGCCTAAGGAACACAATTTATTGGAGAAACAACACAAAAACACTGTCAATACACAGGCACGTCTGGAAATTTAGAGACTAAGTCAGTTCTGAACCCAAACAAATTCCTTGTTTGGAAAACCCAGCCTCACATCTGAGCGACCGCGGGGCGTTATCCTGAGCCACAACAGCGTGCTCCGGGCAGCTGTGGAGACCAAAACATCTGTGAGATGAAGGGGTAAGTGCACAAAGTGAGCTGGAAAGGCTGCCCGCAGCTGGAGCCTGCAGCCGCACCGGGCTGGCCGAGCACAGACACATCTGCTGCTGGTTCCTGCACCTTCTCCAGGCCTCTCCTGTCCGGGGATGCACCTGGCTTCAGCAAAAGCAAAAAAAAAAAGGCTGAGCTAACCAGCAGACATGGTTACACCGGCACCAGCCTCCCTCTGCTCACACAGCTCGCTGCACCGGCATAAACCACCGGCGAGGAACGGGCTTTTGCTGGCAAGAAGGGCATCCCCGGTGGAAGTGAGCAGGTGCAGGTGCAGGACGAGAAGCACCGGCGGCTGAGCCGCTGCACCGCGTTTTATTTCTCCATCAGCGAATGGCAGCCAGCGGCCGGTGCTCCCGGGAGCGGCTCGGGCTCTCTCAGCCCCAGCTCCACCCGCTCAGCGCTGCCCAAGGCGCTTCTCGGTGACAAAACCCGCGGCGAAGCCACCGGCACCCCAACGGCGCCCGAGCTCCGGGCCAGCCCCGGGGCACTCGCGCGGTCCCAAACGCGATCCCGAAGCATCCGCACCTCCGCCCGCCGTGCCCGCCCCGACCCCGCGGCACCACCGCTGCCCTCCGCAAAGCGGCCGCGATCGGCCCCGGGCCTGTGCCGGCCGCGGCGGCAATCGCGCCCGGTGCCCCCCGGTGCCCCCCGCTCCCGGCCCCGCTCCCGGCACTGACCCGCGTGTGCGCGGCCCCGCGTTGCGGAGCGCAGGGCGCACGCCAGGCCCGTGCGGCAGCGGAACATGTCGCCGCTCGCCGCTCGCCGCTCGCCGGTCGCGGCCCCGCCGGCCCGGCCCGGCCCCGCCGCGCACGCGCCTCCCGCCGCTTCCGGCCGCTCCGCGCCGCCGCCTCCTCCATGGTGCCGCCGCCGCCGCCATGTGGCGGCCGCCCCGCCGCCTCCCGCCGCCGCTCCGCCGCGCCGCCGCCACCGGGCCCGGCCGCCGCCTGCTGCTCTCTACCCCGATCTTCTACGCCAACGGGCCGCCGCACATCGGGCACCTGTACTCGGCGCTGCTGGCCGATGCGCTGCTCCGCCACCGCCGCCTGCGCGCCGCCGGCCCGGCCCGGCTCTGCACGGGTCAGCCGCAGCCCCGGCCCCGGGGCTGAACCCCCTCCCCGTGTCCCCGGGCCCCTGTGTGCCCGCGGGGCTGCGGGCTCCGGCCTCTCCCCACGGCCTCTCTCCGTTTCAGGCACCGACGAGCACGGGCTGAAGATCCAGCAGGCCGCGGCCGCGGCGGGGACATCGCCCGCGGAGCTCTGCCAGCGCGTCTCGGGGCTCTTCCGCCGGGCCCTGACCCAGGCCGGCGTCTCCTACACCGACTTCACTCGCACCAGCGAGCCCCGGCACCGGCGAGCCGTGCGGCACTTCTGGGGGGCTCTGTGCGAGCGAGGGGTGCTCTACAAGGGCTCGTACGAGGGCTGGTACTGCACGGCCGAGGAGAGCTTCGTGCCCGAGAGCCAGCTGGCCGAGCGCACCGACACCCGGGGCCGGCGCTGCACGGTGTCCTTGGACAGCGGCCACGAGGTAACGGGGCTGCAGCGGCACTGCGCGCTCGCCTGCCGCTCTGCCCCGCCGCACTTGGGCTGTCCAGCGCTTCACCTAGCCTTTTATTAACTGGTGTTGGCTGAGACTCACCTGTCCTTCAGCAGAGTGACAGAGAGCTGCCAGACCCCAGCTGGCAGGTGCGCGTTGTAGCTACGTGCAGCGGGAAGGATTCGGCCCCTGCTGGGTGCACAGGCTGTTGGCCTGGGCTGGTGTTCTCCAGGGGGGATGAGAGAAGTCAGCTGAACAGGAGGATGAGGGTGTATCTAATGGAGGGGTTCCTTGGGGGTTCAGCGTTTCACACCTGTTTTGTGAGACGGTTCAGTTTGGCCTCTGAGCCTTACCCATCTTGAGAAGGGTTTTGGCCCTGCCTAAAGCACTGTAACATCACCTGCCCAGGAGTGTGGCACCTTCCCCAGCGTCTCTCTGCCACTCTTTTCTAGAAGGTGTGGGTTTAATCCAGCAGCTACAGATAATCCTACTCTGAGCTCAGCTCAGGTTGTGCCCCTGTGGTATTTGTATGAGGCTGGGATGTAGGAGGGTTGGTCCACCCAGAAAGGGCTGGATTGGCAGACAGTAACTCTTGAGAAAGCACCTAAGACAACTGGGGAAAAGATAAGTTTCCAGGCAAAGTAATTATTCTTTAGACCTAAAACACTCATAGGCCTCAAAGACCCTGAGAACAGTTCCTGGCCTCGCCTGTGTGTTGAACTGTCCAAGGAAACAGGAGAGTGCAAGGAGCAGAGAAGCTCTTGCAGTGTGGTGGGAAGGGATGGGAGGGTTTATCTCCAGCCTGGAAGAGGCAGTTGGGCAGTTTGTTCCTTGGGAATTTTGTGAAGGAAAAGGGGGAGTTTGCACATGCCATAATCCCCAGACTTGTGGTGAGTGGGTTCTGGCATCCGGTGGAGCCTGGGGGTGGGGATGTTCAGCTTGTCTTTGAGTGATGCTCTTCAGGTCTTCCTTGCACACTGCAAGATTGCTGACCCAGCCACGGATCCTTGAGTGCCTTACACAGCTCACTCGTACCACATCCACCCACCAAGTTTTCACTGGTTTAGCTGAATGTGTCATTTAATGGATTTAACTGTGGGGGAGAAGTGCTGTCAGTGCTGTAAGCAAACAAAGTTAGTGACTTAGATGCATTAAAGCACAAACTGAGGAAAAAGAGGAGTACAGCCCCAGGAGAACAAAGGCAGGCACCGGGAGTGGCAGTAGGACAGGAATTACAATGTCAATTTGTCTTTACATGATTTTCCGCTACTATTGCAAAAGTATGTCATTAAGGTGTATTCTTATCTCCCTAACTCCTTTCTGATGTCACATCAACCTGGCAGCTGGAAAGGTGTTCCTTCCCAGGGTTACAAGTGTTTTTAGAAGCAGGATGCTGAACCATCCCAGGTGCCTGAGTCCTCAGGTGTGTTCTGGGGATCCCAAGGAGGCACTGTCTTGGGTAAGAAGGTTCCTTCTTGTCATGGAGAGGTGCTGAGAGCTTCCCCTGGAATGGGAGGACACCCAGAGACGGGCACTGTGCGACAACCTCCGTGCTGAGAGCGGTGTGTGCAAATTGCCAGCCTGTTCTTGGGGCCATAATCCTTTCCTCTCCTGCTGTCCCAGGTGCACTGGACCAAGGAGGAGAATTACATGTTCAGGCTCTCAGCGTTCCGGGCTCCCTTGCAGAACTGGCTCCGGGACAACCCACGTGCCATTTTTCCTGACCCTTTCTACCAGAGCGTGCTCCGCTGGCTGGACGAGGACCTGCCAGACCTGTCGGTGTCCCGCGAGCGGAGCCGGCTGCAGTGGGGCATCCCCGTGCCCAGTGACCCCACCCAGACCATCTACGTGTGGGTGGACGCCCTGGTGAACTACCTGAGCGTGCTGGGGTACCCCGAGGGGCACGGCGCGTGGTGGCCGGCCGCGCACCACGTCGTGGGCAAGGACATCCTCAAGTTCCACGCGCTCTACTGGCCGGCGCTGCTGCTGGCGGCAGGGCTGGAGCCCCCCGAGCGCATCCTGGTGCACTCCCACTGGACCGTGCGGGGCCAGAAGATGTCCAAGAGCCTGGGCAACGTGGTGGACCCCGGCGCGTGCGTGGGGCAGTACGGCGTGGACGGGTTCCGCTACTTCCTGCTGCGGCAGGGCGTCCCGGAGAGGGATTGTGACTACTATGATGAGAAAGTGGTGAAGTTGGTGAATTCAGAGCTGGCAGATGCGCTCGGGGGGCTGCTGAATCGCTCAACAGCCCCCAGCATTAACCCCAGCAACACCTACCCACGCTTCTCAGAGCCCTGCTTCCCAAAGGTCCCGGGTTCCGGGGAGGCAAAGGGCACGGGCAGGGCGTGCGCCGAGGACTACGAGCTCGTGGCGGCGGTGGCCTCGCTGCCTGCGCAGGTGCACGGTCATTTCGAAGGCTTCCAGATCTACAAGGCTTTGGAATGCATTGCCCAGTGTGTGAGGCAGACCAACGGCTTCTTCCAGAGGCACAGGCCTTGGAAACTGGAGCGAAGGGACGCTGCGGAGCAGCTCTGGCTGGACACCATCCTGCACGTGACGCTGGAGTGCCTGCGCGTGTACGGGACGCTGCTGCAGCCCGTGGTCCCACACACGGCAGACAAGCTGCTGTCCCGGCTGGCTGTCGGGCCAGAAGAGAGGGGGCTCTCTGGCCTGACATTCCTGGCACGCTATCATGGAAAGCCGTGTCCCTTTGAGGGGAGGCAGCTCGGACCTGACACTGGCATCTTGTTCCACAGGCTGGGCAAGTCAGAAACTCTGAAGAAGAGAAAGCAAGAAGCTCAAATCCCTGACAGACAGCTTCTGTGAATAAAAGCTTCTAGGAATTCCTGGAAAACATGGTCTCTCTTAAAAGCACTTTCCTCTCATTCCTGGTGGTGGTGTGGAGGGGTGGGAAGCCGGCCTGAGCAGGGAGGATCAAGCTCAGGAGAGACAGGCTTGGTCCTGGGCCTCCTTGCACAGGGAGATGGACGAGCGGTCACTCTGCAATGTCCTCATCTCACTTTCGATCCACGGCTTTTTGGCCAGGTCAGAAGTAGCTGGGAGTGGTCAGAAATGGTTCTGTGGGGCTGTGGTGCTCATTGGGTCTCTCAGCTGAGCTCCCTTTGTGGGCCAAACCAAGTCTAAGTGAGCCTCAGTGGGGACAATCCTGTGTGGCTGCTCTTTATTCCGAGGGCAGGACAGTGCCACGGTCAGACAGTGGGTCTCATTCAGCAGTGCAGACCTGCAGACGTGACCAGAATGGGAAAGGGGGGGATGTGTTTCATCAGGCTCAGCTTTCTGAGGCTTTTTCACCTGCTGCAAGGCTTAGTGCACCGTTTCATGTCCGTGCTGCTGGAAGCAGATGAGCACTGACACTCTGGGGTGGTGGTGACCACTGCGGGTCTCTGGGAAATCCCTCCCAGCCCTGGCTCCTGCAGGCCCCATCAGTGCTGGCACTCACTGGAGGACTCATCTTTCAGAGCCCCATTTTGGGGTGCTGTGAGTTCTTTTGGGATCGCCTGGGCTGTGTGAGCAGGAGCAGCGCAGCCCCTGGGCTCTGCCCCACGTCCCCATGGGTCCCCACGCCACCGGCGCTGTGCCACAGCCTGATGCTGTCCCAGTCCAGCTGACCTGAGTCCCCTCATCCCCTCCTGCCCTGGCTCTCCTCTCCTCCTGCCGATTGTCACCCGCTCCCCTCACTCCTGCAGTCCTGTGCATCCTTCCTGCTGCAGCCCCCAGCCCGCGTGCCGTGGGTGCTGGCTCCCCACTGCCCTGTTTCTTGGGGACAGGAGGGTCACATCCCCTTCCCGGGCTCTGTGACACTGCCACACGGGAGCTGCGGCTGCCCAGCTGGACATGGAGGGGCATTGTGTGCCCGTGATCCCTCCGGTGCCGGTGATCCCACCGGTGCCCGTGATCCCTCCGGTGCCTGTGATCCCACCGGCGGGTGTCGGTGTCCCCGAGGCTGCTCCCGCCTCGCCGTGCCCGGTCCCGGGAGGGGCCAGGCCTTCTGCCCGCAGCCCTGCCGGTCTCCGCCGCTCCGCTGGGGATGCTGAAGGCACCCGGTCTGCGCTCGGAGCCGCGCGGTGCCGGTGCCGGTACGAGGGGCGGGGACTGGCCGTGCCGGTGCCGCTGCCGGTGCCGCTCGGTGGGGCGGGACCGTGCAGTGCCGTAGCCGGTGCGTGGGGCGGAGCCGTGTTGTGCCGGTGCCGGTGCGTGGGGTGGGGCTGTGCCGGTGCCGGTGCCGGTGCGTGGGGCGGAGCCGTGTTGTGCCGGTGCCGCTCCGCGGGGCGGGGACGAGCTGTGCCGTAGCTGGGGCGTGGGGCGGAGACGAGCGGTGCCGGTGCCGGTGCCGCTGTCCGGAGCTGTGCCGGTGCCGGTGCCGCTCCGCGGGCCCCCATGAGCCGGTGAGGCGGCGGCGGTGCGGGAGGGATGGCGGCGGGCGGCGGCGGGGGGCGACCGCCGGGCCCCGACCCCGCGCTGGAGCCCTACGTGCAGACCCGCATCTTCAAAATCATCGTGATCGGAGACTCCAACGTGGGCAAGACGTGCCTGACCTTCCGCTTCTGCGGGGGCACCTTCCCCGGCAAGACCGAGGCCACCATCGGCGTGGACTTCCGCGAGAAGACGGTGGAGATCGAGGGGGAGCGCATCAAGGTGGGCCCCGCTCAGCCCCCGGTGGTCTCACACCGGCCCCGGAGGGCCCCGCAGCGGCCCCGACCCGGCCCCGGTCCCCATCCCTGCCTCTTGCCAAGCCCCTCCTGGGGGCTTTTCCTTTCATCCCAGCTGGAGGGAGGGAACAGGGCCAGGGGAGAATTCTCGTCCCCGTGTTGCAGAGATGGCCCTGGAGCAGTCCCTGCTGCCTTGTCAGTATTTCTGGGGTTGCAGAGATCAGCAGGGATGGCTCGGGGTGAGTCACGGCCACCCTGCCATGGCCACAGCTGGATGCTCACAGCACTGGGGTGGCTCCAGCTCCGCACGCCGGACCAGCAGAGGGATGGGGGACAGAGCTCTGTGCCACAGCCAGGGGCTCTGGGGAGGCAGAGGGCGGTGGGCTGGCACACTGGAAGGCTGAGAGCTCACACAGGGCCCTCACACGGGCTCGGCCGCTGTGCCAGCAGGGCTGGAACCTGCTCCCAGCTGTGTCTGGATGAATTTGCTTGTGAAGGCTGGTGTGACACCTGGAAAGGATGATCAGCCCAGACCTGGAGAGCTCTGGCTGGTGTGTCAGAGCAAATCTGCCACTGGTTGGACACCACCGGGGACAGAGTTTGTGCTGCAGCCTGGCCTGCCCAGCTGTGGGGATCAGCACCCACACTCCCTGAGGCTGGAGCTGCAGGAACAAACATCACTGCTGTGCTGACAGATGGCTGATCAAAAGTTGAACTCACAATGAAACCAGAGCTTGTGTTGGTGGCTGAGAGCTTTGGTTGTGCTTCTAGGCTGTCCATGAATGCTTTTCCCTCTCCTCTAGAGGTGCTCGTTGTCCCTGCCCTCCCCAGCTCTGTCCAGCCCCACGGTGCCGCTGTGAGCTGTGGTGCAGGCTGGCATGGAGCCTGTTTGCTGCCACTATCCGGAAAACGTTGCCAGGTTTCCTACCTTTGGATATTATTTGAGCTCCAGTGGGCAGGAGTGGGAGGCAGTGCAGCAAACCGGCCTTTTCCTGGGATTTGTATCCAAGAGAGGAGGTGAGAGGTGGGAGAGGGACCCTCCCTCTCTTGCTCTGCCTGGGAGAGACTGGCCTTGAGGGGACTGAGCAGCAGCTCTGCTTTGCCAGTGTTTTTTGGCTGGAAAGACTCGGAGGCAGGTACTGTCTCCATGGAAATTGCCACTTCCAGGCTACCAAACCCTACCAGGAGAGGCCAGCCTGAGCCCTGGGGCACTCTGCTGGTTAGCAGCGTCCATCCAGGCTCGGTGTCACTGACCAGCACTGTCTACACCCAGACATTCAGCCAGGTCCCAATCCACCTCACTGCTCCTCCAGCCCAGAGGCCTTCCTGGCATCTCTGTCACTTGGGTCAGGAAGTTGTCATCGATGGTGTCCTGGAATGTTCTGGATTGCCTGTGCCCTGCTGTGCAGCCCTTCCAGGAGGTGTTGGGGTGGCTGAAGCTCCCTGTGAGAACCAGGGGCTGCAAACACAAGGCTGCTGCTCACCGTCCATGGAGCACCTCATCTCTATAGCAGAGACCCCCTACAATGTCACCTGTGATGTTCTGCTCTTTAATCCTCCCCCATGAGCTCTGCTGGCTCCTCACCCATCCCCACAGAGCTCCCAGCCCTCCCGCTGTGCTCCCACACAAAGAGTGGCTCCCCCTCCTCATTTTCTCTTTTCCTCTGTGAAATCAGCATTCTCACTCATGGCGTAGGATCTGGTGCACAAATAGACATGGATCTGTTGGAATGAGTCCAGAGGAGGCTGCAAAGATGTTCGGAGGGCTGCAGCCCCTCTGCTCTGAAGCCAGGCTGGCAGAGCAGGGGCTCTTCAGCCTGGAGAAGAGAAGGCTCCGGGGAGACCTTACCCTCTTCCAGTGCATAAAAGGGCTCCAAGAGAGCTGGAGAGGGACTTGGGACAAGGGATGGAGGGACAGGACAATGGCCTTAAGCTGAAGGATGGCAGGTTTAGATTGGATATTGGGAAGAAATTCTTGGCTGTGAGGATGGGGAAGCCCTGGAACAGGCTGCTCAGAGAAGCTGTGGCTGCCTCCTGATACCTGGAAGTGTCCGAGGCCAGCTTGGCCAACAGCCTGGGGTAGTGGGAGGTGTCCCTGCCATCGACAGGGGCTTGGACTGGATGATCTTTAAGTTCCCTTCCAGTGCAAACCATGCTGGGACTCTCTGAAAGCCCGAGAGCAGGAAGCCCTCCCCACGGCCCTGCCAGGGCTCCACACTCCTGTAGCCTCTTTTCTTGTCTGCTTCCCTTCCCAGGTGCAGGTGTGGGACACGGCTGGCCAGGAGAGGTTTCGGAAGAGCATGGTGGAGCACTACTACCGCAACGTGCACGCCGTGGTCTTCGTGTACGACGTGACCAAGATGAGCTCCTTCACCAACCTCAAGACGTGGATCGAGGAGTGCAACGGGCACGCCGTGCCCCCGCTCGTCCCCAGGGTGCTCGTGGGGAACAAGTGTGACTTGAAAGACCTGATCCAGGTGCCATCCAGCCTGGCCCTCAAGTTCGCCGACGCTCACAACATGCTTTTGTTTGAGACCTCGGCCAAGGACCCGCAGGAGAGCCAGAACGTGGACGCGATTTTCATGTGCCTGGTGTGCCGGCTGAAGGCGCAGCGCTCGCTGCCCTGCCGGGACACGGAGGGCTGGCCGGCGCAGCCCCAGCCGCAGCCCCGGCGGCAGGAGGAGGCCGGCGGGAGAGGCTCCTGCCCGTGCTGAGCGGGACCGGCCCGGACCCCAATAAAGGCTCTGACCCCTGCGCTCCGCCTCTTGCTTTGCGTCTCAGCCCGCTCGGCCGGAATCGGCTGTGATCGGCCCGGCTCGGCCGCGATCGGCCCGGCTCGGCAACAGTCGGTTCGGTGCGGCTTGCAGCGCTCGGTTCCAATCGGCCCTATTCGGCCGTGCTCGGGCTATCTCGGTTATTATTAACCAGACTCGGCTACAATCGGCCACGCTCGGCTCTACTCGGCTATAATCGCTCGACTCGGCTGCTCTCGGCTACATGGCCTCGGCTCGGGGCGGGGCGGTGCCGCGCGCAGGCGCAGTGCGCGCCGCCGCCGCCATGAAGTAGGTGTGGGGGTACGGGGGGGAGGCCGGGCCCGGTCCGGTCCCGCCGGTGCCGGTACTGACGGTGCCGGTACTGACGGTGCCTCGTCCGCAGCCCCCTGACGAAGGTGAAGCTGATCAATGAGCTGAACGCGCGGGAGGCGGAGCTGGGCGTGCAGGAGGCGGTGTCGTGGCACGCGGAGTACAAGGACAGCGCTTGGATCTTTGTGGGTACGGGCCGGGCCGGGGGCGGCGGCCGCCGCCGGTGCTGTCGAGCCGCTCCTCCCGTCCCCTCTCCCCGCAGGCGGGCTGCACTACGAGCTGACGGAGGGCGATGTCATCTGCGTGTTCTCGCAGTAAGTGCCGCAGCCCCGGGCGCGCCGCCGCGGGCGCTGCCGGCCGCTGACACCGTGCGGGGCCGCAGGTACGGAGAGATCGTCAACATCAACCTCGTGCGGGACAAGAAGACCGGCAAGTCCAAGGGCTTCTGCTTCCTGTGCTATGAGGACCAGAGAAGCACCATCCTGGCTGTGGATAACTTCAATGGGATCAAGGTAAGTGGAGGCGCCGTGGCTCCCTGAGGGCTGCTCGGGCCGGCCCCGCGGGCCGGGAGCTGCCCGTGACAGCCCGGCCCCGCAGATCAAGGGCCGGACCATCCGCGTGGACCATGTGGCCAACTACCGGCCCCCCAAGGAGTCCGAGGACTGGGATGAGGTGACCAGAGCCCTCCATGCCAAGGGCTGCGGCGTCAAAACGCCACCTCACACCTCGTCCGACTCCCCGTCTGAGGATGAAGATGTGCCCGTGAAAAAGCAGAAAGGTGAGGAGCGTTCCTGGCAGGCTGGGTCCCAGGTGGGAGTGCCCGTGGTAGGGTTTGGGGGCTGGAGTCTGCGTGGAGAGAAGGTTGGAGGAAGAAAAATGGGCACAAAATGAGGGTGGGAACAAGGTGTTGCTACAGAGTGCTGAGGAGATGCTCAAAAATGAGGGAGAAGAAGGAGAGCCAAGAGGGAAGAGTCCTCAGAGGTAATTTCCACAGAGAGGCTCACAATATAACTGAGGAATGAATGGGAGGTTCTCAGCATTCCGAGTGGTGTGGAAATGCCCAGCCTTGCTGGGAAGAACATGATGTGAGTGATAGAGAGAGAAGTGGGATGGCTGCAGCTGGAGGAGCAGAAGTCATGATTGGAAGTGGACTGGGATCTCCCTGATGGGGAAGCAGACTGGGAAATTGGGTGGAGTGGGAGAATTTGTAGTGGAAGAAGAGTTGGGATGGTGCCAGGGGAGCCATGGGGAGCGAGGTGCTCCTGGAGTTTGGTGCATCCCAAAATGTGAACCCTAATTCCAGAGAAGCAGCGGAGCAGAGCAGAGCGGTCAAAGTCGAGCCCACAAGCTGGGAAGCGGGTGAGCACGGAGGAGCCCCATCCCAGGATCAGGATCAAGAAGGAGAAGGAGGACCCCGGGTACGAGCGCTACGCTGGCGGGAGCGGCGACAGGAACGCCGGCAGCAGGACGCAGCGGGAGGAGGAGCAACGGCGGCACCAGCGGCACTCGGACAGGAGAGGGGACAAGAACTGCCACCAGCAGAGGGGCCACAGCGGCTCCTGGGAGGAGCGGGAGAAGAAGGACGAGGCTGGCAGGAGGGGAGATGGGCGCAGCGGTCGGCAAGACGCATCCCCCAGGGGCAGCAAGTCCCGGGAGCCGCACTCCAGGCACAGGGAGCGGGGCTCTGGCAGAGACTCCGGCCGCTGCTGAGCCCTTTGGGGTGAGGGAGGCCCTGGGCCTGCCCAAACCCGCTCCGAGCTCCTGGGATGCCACGGCTGGACCTTTCACCTGGGAGCTTCCCCTTGCCTCTCATCCCGCCCTGGGCCAGGGCTCTCCACGCTGCCCGTGCTGCTGGCTGGGACAGGGGTTTGTCCTTCGACCAGGGAGGGTGTCAGGTGGAGAAGGCTGGGAGCAGCAGGATGCGCCCCTTCCCTAAATCCCTGGGGCGGTGTCTTCCTCTTGCCCTGGGGGCAGAGGCTGCTGGGTGTCTTGTCTGGCCTCCTGGGACAGGTTTGGGCCCTGTGCCCACCCAGCATCTTCTGGATTCCATGATGTATCCACTGGGCTGCACCGTTGTGTCGGGGTGATTTATCATGGATTTGTTTAAAGGTTTCTTAATAAAAGTTCCTGTGGTGGGAGCAGTGTACCTGTCTGTGGGTCAGGGAGGAGGTGTCACCTGTTTGTCTTACACTGATTTTGGGTTTATTTGGCCAGAGAACCGGGAGTGCTGGAGTGGGGGATTCACGGGGTGGAGAAGAGAGGTGCTTTAGCTGGGTTCGGTTCCTACAACGAGTAATCCCTCCAGTCCGGGTCCGCACCGGTTCCGGAGGGGAGAACCTCCCCCGGAGACACCCGGGGGGATGCGGCGGGGGCAGCCCCTGCGGCTTCCGCGTACCGGCAAGGGCGGTCCCGGTCCCGGCGGGGCGGTCCTGGTGTCCCGGTACTGGCGGTCCCGGTGTCCCGGTCCCGGTGTCCCGGTCCCGGTGCTGGCGGTCCCGGTGTCCCGGTCCCGGTGTCCCTGTCCCGGCGGGGCGGTCCCGCTGCGGTGCCGCCGGGGCCGGCAGGGGGCGCGCGCGGTGCAGAGCCCGGTTCCGGTGGCGGTTCCGGTTCCGGTCCCGGCCCGGTGGCGGTGTCCGCCCGCCATGCCATGTCCGCGCTCAACTGGAAACCCTTCGTGTATGGCGGGCTCGCCTCCATCGTGGCCGAGTTCGGTAAGGAGTGGGGCCGGGCGGGAGCGCTCCGGGTACCGGTACCGGGAAGCGGCGGGCGCTCAGGCCGCTGTCCCCGCTGTCCCCGCTGTCCCCGCAGGCACGTTCCCCGTGGACCTCACCAAGACGCGGCTGCAGGTGCAGGGGCAGAGCAGCGACGCGCGGTTCCGCGAGGTCCGGTACCGGGGCATGTTCCACGCGCTCTTCCGCATCTGCCGCGAGGAGGGCGGACGGGCCCTGTACTCGGGGTGAGCACCGGGGCCATCCATCCCCACCGGGACACATTCCTCCCCACCGGGACACCACCGTCCGCCGCGGCTCCTCCGCCCGGCCCGGCCCTCCTTTCCCCCAGCCGGGCCTCCCCGGTGCCTGCCCCGGCCCTTCTCCTCCGGCCCGGGAGCTCCCATCGCCTCTGCCGGGCTCCCGCTCTGTGCCGGCATCCCCTCCGCCCGTCCGGGACCTCTCCCGCACCCCGGGACCTCCAACACCCCGGGACCTCTCCCGTACCTCGGGACCTCTCCCGCACCCCGGCATCTCCCCCTGCCTTCCCCGGCTCTCCCCCACGCATCCCGGCTTTTTCCCCTCCGCCCACCCCGGCCCTGCTTCTGTCCCGGTACCCCCTCCCCAGCCCGGGTCCCCTCTTCCCCCTTCTCTCCCGGTGCTCCGCTGTCCCTGCCCATCCCGGCCCCCATTTCCTGCACGCTGCTGCGATCCCCTGGGATCCCTCCCTGCCCCGAGCCCTGAGCGGAGCCTCCCGGTGTTCCCGAGGCCAGGGCTGCGTGGGTGCCATCCCCGGGCGCTGGGGGCTCGTGGGGCTATCCCGGTTATCCCGGTTATCCCCGGTTATCCCGGTTATCCCGGTTATCCCCGGTTATCCCGGTTATCCCTGGTTATCCCCGGTTATCCCGGTTATCCCCGGTTATCCCGGTTATCCCGGTTATCCCCGGTTCCCGGTTATCCCGGGTTATCCCGGTTATCCCGGTTATCCCGGTTATCCCGGTTATCCCCGGTTATCCCGGTTATCCCTGGTTATCCCGGTTATCCCTGGTTATCCCGGTTATCCCGGTTATCCCGGTTATCCCGGTTATCCCGGGCAGAGCTGCGTTTCCCGGCGGGGCGGTGGCCCTGGCCCGCGGGGATGCTCAGGGTCCATCCCCCGCAGGATCGCCCCGGCGCTGCTGAGACAGGCGTCCTACGGCACCATCAAGATCGGGATCTACCAGAGCCTGAAGCGGCTCTTCGTGGATCGCATGGAAGGTCGGTGCTGGGGACGGGCAGCGCGGGCCCCTCCCAGCTCCCCACCTCACACTCCGGGCTGTGTTTTGCTCCTCGTTCCTTGCTCTGTCCTTCCCAGCCCCAGATTCCCACAGGAGTGGAGCTCCATTACTGTGCTGTGCTTTTATTTGCCGGTGAGAGCAAGGATTGGATTTAATCCCCATGGGAACCTCACCGTGCTCTGCGCTGCCTGCAGTCCCTACCCAAACACCTCCCTCCAGCCAGGTTCCTTCATTTCACGGAGTCCTGGGAGAACCACAGAATCATTTAGGTGGGAAAAGACCTCCAAGATTACCAAGTCAAATCTGTGTCTTATGCCCCCCACCTTGTCCCCAGCCCAGAGCTCTGAGTGCCACATCCAGCCCTTCCTTGGACACCTCCAGGGATGGGGACTCCACACCTCCCTGGGCAGCCCCTGCCAATGCCTAACCTTCCTTTCCATGAAGAAATTCCTCCTGATGTCCAAGCTGAGCCTCCCCTGGCACAGCCTGGCACATTCTGGATAGGAATTGTGCAGCTCTGTAGCTCTGGCCCTGACTGCAAAGGTGAGGTTCCACCAGTGCCCGTGCCCTCTGCAGCTCCTGCCAGGGGAGTGGAGCTGCTGTTCCTGAGGGTGAGATTTTCATCCCTGCTGTGACATGAGGGAATGTTGTAGCGCTGTTCCAGCCTGGGAAAGCGGATGGGTGGGCAGAATGCAGCGCAGTAATGATAGGAAGCTGTGCCAGGGCAGGTTTAGGTTGGTATCGGCAGAAGGTTTTGTCCCCCAGAGGGTGCAGGCACTGCCCAGGCTCCCCAGGGAATGGGCACTTCCAGAGCTCCAGGAGTGTTTGTGCAGCGCTCCCAGACACAGGGTGGGATTGTTGGGGTGTCTGTGCAGGGCCAGGGGTTGGACTGGGTGATCCTCATGGAACTCTTCCATCTCAGGATCTCCTGTGGCTCTCGAGGTCCTTTCAGGGCTGCTGTCCTGCTCCGGTGGTGCCTCTCCCTGCCTGGCCCCACACCCCCTCGCTGTTCCAGCCCTTTCAGCTGTGCCTGACTGTTTGTCTCCCTGCAGGCCTGGGGCAGCCTGGTGTCCTCTGGGAAGTGGCGTGGTCAGTACCAGCAAAGGCCTGTGCCTTTTCCCAGTGTAACCATCCTCCTAATACTGGGCTTGGAATCTCGGGGCATTCCCTGGCACTAACCACATCTAACTCCCTGCCTGTTCTCGAGCCTCAGCTGGCTCCAGGGCCTGGGGAAACGCTGGGTTGTCCCTCTCTGTCTGCCTCTGTCCTGGCTCATCCCTGCAATGAGGAATCTCAGATAACTGGTCACAATTTTCACGTGTCCCAGGATTTCCTTCTCATCCGTCAGCCCCTCTGGGAGCGCAGTGCTGAGCGTTCCAGCTGCTGCCTCCTGTCCCTGGCAGGTGTTGGACAGACCCTGCCCAGCCCTGCTCCTGCAGCTTCACCGTGTGATTTGGGAGCTGAGCTGCTCTGCACTTGTTCACTGTGCCCCTCCCGTCAGGGTCTGACCTTCTTTCCTTGCTTGCAGATGAAACGTTGCTCCTCAATGTGATCTGTGGGGTGGTCTCGGGGGTCATCTCCTCTGCGCTGGCCAATCCCACAGACGTGCTGAAGGTAAGGGCTGCTCCTGCCTGCCCCTGGGACCTGTGGGAGGAGCAGCTCAGTGCTCCCTGAGCCACCAGCTCTGCTCATTTGGGGTTTTTAATGGATGGGGACCAAAGCCCAGGGTAATTAACAGGTGTTTAAAAACACAGCTCTTAAAAGATCACAGAATCCTGGTACGGTTTGGGTTGGGACAGACATGAAAAGCCATCTCCTTGGGCAGGGACAGCTCCCACTGCACCAGGTTGCTCCAAACCCCATCCAGCTTGGCCTGGAACACTTGCAGGGATGGAGCAGCCACAGCTTCTCTGGGCAGCAAGGACCATGACATCTGTCCTGGTGAGGGGTGGGAGCTGTGGCTCGAGCTGGGCCAGGTGAGCAGGTGGCAGCCAGCTGCTGCTGTCCCTTGGTCACGGTGCTGGCACTGCCTGGAGTGAGCAGAGCCCAGTGGGGCCCTGGGCAGAGACAGCCTGGAGAACTTCCCCATCTTCTCCCTGTGTAGATCCCCCTTCTGGGGCTGCTTCCAGGGGAAAGGCCTTGTCCCTCGTGTCCCTGTGTCCCCACCCTGCTGCTGTCCCTGCCCCCTGCCTGCTGCCATCCTCGTCCTTGTGGTTTGCAGGGAGAGGGACATGGAGAACAGTGTGGGCTCTGAGCTGCTCTGTTCCTTCTTCCAGGAGTTCCATGGAGCTGCTGTCCCTGTGTCTTGGTTTGAAAAGACAGGTGTCTGCTAAGGAAGGCAGGAGCCTCCCTTGAAATGGAAAAAATGTAAACTTCCTCCCTCCAAATTATTATAATTTTGAAATTCAGGGGCTCTCAGGCAAAGATATGGGAGTAGGAATAACAGTTCTTTACTAGGATATATAAATAATAAAAAAAAACCCCTACAACTTAATAGGGAAATGAAAATAAAATACAATAGTAGAAAAAGCACTGCCAGAGCCAGAATCCAGTGTGATACTCTGCTGGGCAGGGTGTCGGTAGCAGTGGGATTAAATGGTGGCTGCAGCCCTGGAGTGCCAGATGTGGCTCTGGTGAAGCTGTGACCCTGTAGAAGGGGGCAGTTTCCCTCTGAAGGCCCAGGGCTGCTGTAGATGGGTCCTGTTTTCCTCTGGGAATCCACCAGTGGAAAAAAGGCTGCCTGTGGTGTTCCAAAGCTCAGATTGTAGCCAGGTAGGAATGCTTGGCTCCTCCCCCTGGCTGGAGCATCTCCCAGTGGGATGATGGAATTTTCTCAGTCCTGCAGTGAGACCCAGTGGATCATTAAGAGCAGAGATCCCCCTGGAGGGAGGATGGGTCCTGGAAGGGATAAAGAACACTGCCCCAGCTGGTTTTAGCAGCTGGTGATAGAATACATCCCTCTGGTTACACCTTGCATTGCAACCCAAGACACCCCGGTGTCCCCGCCCTGCGGGCAGGTGCTGGTGTCAGGACAGGTGTTGATGGGCTCCTGCTGACTCTTCCCTTCCTTTCAGATCCGAATGCAGGCTCAGGGCAGCTTGTTCCAGGGTGGGATGATCGGCAGCTTCATTGACATCTACCAGCAGGAAGGTACCCGAGGCCTCTGGAGGGTGAGCACCGACTCCCAGAGCCCCCAGCAGCAGCAGGAATGACAGAAGTCTTGGGGAAGCTGCTGCTCTCCTGCTGTTCTGTAGCAAGGAGCACCTGGAGCCCCTCCTGGGGGCTCACACAGCTCTGTGATCCTCCTTAAACCGCTGCTCTTGTGGGGCACAGTCTTTCCTGGTGTTGGAATTGGTGAGGGGTGACAGCCTTGTTCCCACTGCTGGTGTTGGGAGCGTGGAGTTAATCCAGCTGGAATGATTCCACTGCCGGGGTGGAGCCATCCTCCTGGGCCTTGGAGCAAAGCTGGGGAGCAGTTGGTGTGCCTGCAGGGAGGCTCCAGGGGAGGCTGTCAGGAGAAGGCCCTGGGGAGGTGGCAGCAGTTGGTGACAGTGTCCCTGCTCCACAGGGAGTTGTCCCCACGGCCCAGCGAGCGGCCATCGTGGTGGGAGTGGAGCTGCCGGTCTACGACATCACCAAGAAGCATCTGATCCTGTCAGGCCTCATGGGGGACACCATCTTTGCCCACTTCGTGTGAGTACCTGCTGCAGGCTTGGAGGGCTGTGAGGGAGAGGAGCCTGGAGGGACTGGGGGGAGACCATCCATGGGGCGAGTGCTCTGGAGCTGCAGGGAGCAGGGTCAGTGCTCCCAAAGCGGGGTCAGTGCTCCCAGAGCAGGGTCAGTGCCCCCAGAGCAGGGTCAGTGTCCCCAGAGCGGGGTCAGTGTCCCCAGAGCAGGGTCAGTGTCCCCAGAGCAGGGTCAGTGTCCCCAGAGCAGGGTCAGTGTCCCCAGAGCAGGGTCAGTGTCCCCAGAGCGGGGTCAGTGTCCCCAGAGCAGGGTCAGTGCTCCCAAAGTGGGGTCAGTGCCCCCACAGGATCTGCTGTGTCAGGTGGAACAGCTCAGTCAGCAGCAGGTATGGAATCATTAAGGTTGGGTAAGACCTCCAAGGCCACTGAGTCCAGCCATTCCCCCTGCACTGCCAAGGCCACCACGAATCCATCTCCACATCCCAGAGACCTCCCTGGGGAAGGAGCTGGCAGAAACCCTTTGGTGACATGAAATGCCAGCTTGGTTCCAGCTGGCTGATGACAGAAATGCTGCTGCCCCACATCTGTGCCCTGCTGTGAACCAGGCAGCTCTGTGATCCTTCCTGGTGTCTTTGCTCTTCCTCCCTCCTTCCCAAAGCAGTGTTTGCTCTGCTGGGAGGGATGTGCAGTCCCAGGGGGTGCCTTCAGGTGTGAGTCACTGGGAGCCTTGCAGGGCTGCTGTGCCCTGTGGAGCCAGCTGTGGGCTCAGCTGAGGCTCTGGGTTAGCTGAGCTGAGCTTTTCCCTCCCAGCGGGGCCCTGTGGCCGGCCAGGTCCTGCCAGCGAGGAGCAGGTGGTGCAGCTCAGTCCATGGCTGAAGGCCTTTGCTGAAGGCCAGGGGAGGTGTTGGGTGCCTGTGGGAGCGGGAGTGGCCGTGCCTGACGCGGTGTGTGCAGTTCCAGCTTCACGTGCGGGCTGGCGGGGGCCATCGCCTCCAACCCCGTGGACGTGGTGCGGACGCGGATGATGAACCAGCGCGCCATCGTGGGCAGCACCGAGCTCTACAAGGGCACCCTGGACGGCCTCGTCAAGGTGAGGGGACAGCCCTGTCCTGGGAGGCTGGCCAGGTCCCAGCACCACGCCGCGGGGAGCCCTGGGATCCTGGTGACACAATGTGACATCAGTGAGACGGGAGAGGGCCCAGAGTCGCTTCCCTGAGGCTGCTGAGCATCCTCCCAGCCTCCTGGGACAAGATTTAGGCCATGATGCGGTTAGGTGGGTTCAGAGACTGCAGGTGATGCTTCACACACCTGCACGGGTCTGGGCAGGGTTAGCATGGCACACGTGGCACCGGGGAGGTGGCAGGGCATGGGCCTGGCCTGTCTCCTCACCCATTTGTGTCTGTCCCCAGACGTGGAAGAGCGAGGGCTTCTTTGCACTCTACAAAGGCTTCTGGCCCAACTGGCTGCGTCTGGGTCCCTGGAACATCATCGTATCCTAGCCTGGTGGAGCAGGACACGGGGAGAGCCCAGCTGGGATGGGCAGGGCAGGGCTGACACCCCTGGGGGCACTGGGGTGCCCCAGTGGGCACTGCTGATGGTTCCTGTAGAGCCTCTGAGGCCTTGGCTGGGACCTTGCCTGGCCTGGGCTGCAGGGGATTCCTGGATCAGCTCCTGTTTGGGAGGGAACTGTGGGGAACTGCTGCTGACTGTGCAGGACCAGTGCTGCTGTGTGCTGAGCCACACCACACACTGCCTGCTGAAACTGGGTGGGGAATTCACTGCAGAGAGCTCCCAGCCTGGGCTCGGAGCCACTTCCCTCTCCCAGCGGTCTGGGCCAGGCTGGGTTTGCCCTGGGTGCATCTCCCCGCTCTTGGCTGTGCCCCAGCTCCCTTCTGCCTGGGCAGGTCAGGCTGTGCTGCCTGGACAGCGCAGGGAGCTCCACGGCTGCCTTTAAGGAGCTCCCTGTGTGGGTGTCCAGCCCAGCTGAATGCTCTGCCCACCCTGCCAGGCAGCTGCCTCACATCTGTCCCACATCTGTCCTTGACTCTCCCTTCAGTTTTTTATCACATACGAGCAGTTGAAGCGCCTCCCCTTCTGAGAGCTGCCTTCATCTCACCAGAGTCATCCTCGGGGCTGGCAGCAGAGCTGTGCTGCCGCCTCCCCCTCCATCCCACCGTCCCCATGTCGTGGTGTTTGGTCCCTGTGGGCTGGGCTGTCCCCACATGCATGGTCCCTGGAGCAGCCGGGAGCTGCGCGATTCCCACCGGAGGTGTCCGCGTGCCCGGGCCTGCAGGAATATCTTCTGTGAAGATCTATGCATTCAGTGGCCTTTGGGGCACTGTGGCTGGCAGGTGTGGGTGTCCTCCCGTGCCCCTGGGGCGAGGCTGGGGCCCAGGAAGGTGCCATTATCATGTTTCTTGCAGAACTTGTGACTTCATTAAATTATTTATTGACTGGATGTCTCGAGTTTGGGTCTTGTTTGGACTCTCTCCAGCATCGGGGGAAAGGCTCCCCCACACATCTCCTTTGGCAAACAGAGGGTGTGGGACGGCAGCAGAGCCCTTCCCGTGGCTGCTGCAGTGCAGAGCCCCGAGTGTTCCTGAGCCCTGCCAGCCCTGGGCTGCAGGCAGAGCCCCCCATGCCCTCCCTCCTGCCACACCCGGCCTCTCCCCAGTTACTGTTTGACAGGAACGCTCAGTCCTGCCCCTGGAATTCCTGGCAGCTTGGATTTTTCCAGCTCACGGGGCAGAAGAGGCTTGTGACGCTTTGTGTAGGGGCTGGAGCTGTGACTGTGAAGGTCACCCCTACCCCGGGAGGTGTGAGGGGTGTTGTGGGATTCCCTGGCACGAGGATGCAGAGGCTCTGCTTTCAGGAATTTCTTTGTTACCAGTTACTTTTGGGTAAATACACCCGTGGCTAGCAAAGTGAGTGAGTGTGGACATGGAATCGTTATTTTTGCTGTTGGTAGCACTTGCTAGATTTCCCTGGAAGTATCACGGCAAAGTTCACCCAGCTCCCGCAGGAGTGAGGTCAGTCAATGATGGCCAAGGTGTCTCTGGATCCCACCCATTCCAGGGAGCCTGGAGCCAGCCTGGTGTTCCCGGGCATCCAAAGGGCTGTGCAGGGGGAGCCCCAGGACAGAGAGAGGCTCTTTGGGACGGCAGCCGGTTCCTTCTGCCTGGATCCATCCGCGGGCAGAGGACACCGGCTCCTGGAGGGCCTGGCTGCCTCCTGCCTGCATCCCAGCCCTCCCTGCAGGTCCCAGCAATTCCTGGGTTCCAGCCTCCCTGAGGATGCCCTGGGCTCCCTGTTGTGCCTGCCAGGGGCACTGCAGGTTCCCAGCTGTGGCTGCTGCTTTCCCAGGCTGGCAGAAGTTTCTGTGTGTGAGCACACATCCCTTGGCAGTGCCTTCCCCCTCGGTGACCAGGTCACCGTCAGGGCTGCTGCTCCAGCAGGGTGTCAGTGGTGTTCCCTCGGTCCCAGCAGCAAGAAGCTGTCCTGGGTCTGGCAGTGACCCCCAGGAGCTGTGCTGGACACTGGGAACTCTCTGTGCTCGTCCCCATTCCCAGCCCCTGTGTGTGAGCAGGCACTGCTCTGCTCCAGCCCCTGGGGGGGACGGCCACCGCCCCATGTGCCACCGTGGCAGCTTCCTGCCCAGGTGCTCCCTGCTCACCCCTGCTCCAGGGTTGTCTGGAAACGTGGCTGGAGGGGAGGGACCTCGGCGGGCACAGCAGCCGGTCCAGCAGTCCCTGCTGCGGGCAGCTGCTGGCAGAGCTCTGCTTCCCCCAGGGACACCCCTGATCCCCAGAGACACCCCTGATCCCCAGGGACACCTCTGATCCCCAGAGACACCTCTGATCCCCAGGGACACTCCTGATCCCCAGAGACACCCCTGATCCCCAGGGACACCCCTGATCCCCAGGGACACCCCTGATCCCCCAGAGACACCTCTGATCCCCAGGGACACCTCTGATCCCCAGGGACACCTCTGATCCCCAGGGACACCCCTGCTTCCTCCAGGGACACCCCTGATCCCCAGGGACTGCTGCTCCCAGATTCCTGCTGCTCCCAGATTCCTGCTGTTCCCAGATTCCTGCTGCTCCTGGATTCCTGCTGCTCCCAGATTCCTGCTGTTCCCGGATTTCTGCTGCTCCTGGATTCCTGCTGCTCCCCAGGCTCTGAGGAGCTGCACCTGCCGAGTTTCATCCGCAGAGAGGCCCCAGGTGAGCGATGGCTGAGGATGCTGTTGGGGACACACCGTCCCAGTGGTGTGTCTCACAGAAGGCAACCACGGCCAGCTGGGCTCTGGGAGCCATCCTGGCAGCGCTGGCCTCGCTCATCATCGCTGCCAACGTGCTGGTGGCCATCGTCCTGCTCTGCCACATCCAGAAGAGCGGCTCCAAGGGGCTCTGCTTCGTCCTCAACCTTGCCTTGGCGGATGCCATGGTTGGCTTCACGGTCATGGGCCTGGCCATGGATGAGCTTTCCCAGCCCTTTCATCCTTCCCAGAACTTTTGCATCCTGAGAATGGCTTTTGTGACCTCTTCCTCCGCTGCCTCCATCCTGTCCCTGATCCTGGTGGCCTGTGACAGGCACCTGGCCATCCGGAAGCCTTTCCACTATTTCCAGCTGGTGACGGGCCTGCGGGTCGGGGTGTGCCTGGTGGGGCTCTGGCTGGTGGCCGCCACCGTCGGCTTCCTCCCGGTCTTCATCCCGCGCTTCCAGAGGGTCAACAACCATTGGAAATGCTCCTTCTTCAACGTCTTCCAGCCTTCCTACATGCTCACCATGTTCTGCTTCGGCTTCTTCCCCGCGCTCTTCCTCTTCCTCTACCTCTACTGCGACATGCTGAAAATCGCCTCGGTGCACGTGCAGCACATCCTGGAGGTGGAGCAGGCGGGGCTGGGGGGCGGCTGTCCCCCACCCCGTGCCACCAGTGACATGAAGGCCATGCGCACGGTGGCCTTGCTCATCGGCTGCTTCACCCTCTCCTGGCTGCCCTTCTTCATCACCGGCGTGGTGCAGATGGTCTGCTCCGAGTGCTTCCCCTACAAAGTCATCGAGAACTTCTTCTGGCTGCTGGGGCTGGGCAACTCCCTCCTGAACCCGCTGCTCTATTCCTACTGGCAGAGGGACGTGCAGCTCCAGCTGTCCCGGCTGGCTGCAGGTGTGAAGAGGAGGCTCCTGCTTCACCTGGGCAGCGGCCGCTGTTTCCCTGGCAGAGACACCAAGGCTCTTCCTGCCGTGTCCTGCCGGGAGCTCCAGGACTGACTCGGTAAGGAGCGGCTGTCTCTGGCTTCCCAGCTCCCCTCCTGCATTGTGCCCACGAGCTGGGGGCCTGCCAGCTGTGAAAGGGATCACGGAAGGGTGGCACCGGTCCGAGTGTTAATGTCCAGCCCCCAGCCCGGCCGGATTCCAGCCTGCCCAGTGCCCCCCATCCCCCAGCACAGCTGGATTCCAGCCTGCCCAGTGCCCCCAGCCCAGCTGGATTCCAGCCTGCCCAGTGCCCCCAGCCCAGCTGGATTCCAGCCTGCCCAGTGCCCCCAGCCCAGCTGGATTCCAGCCTGCCCAGTGCCCCCAGCCCAGCTGGATTCCAGCCTGCCCAGTGCCCCCAGCCCAGCTGGATTCCAGCCTGCCCAGTGCCCCCAGTACAGCCGGATTCCAGCCTGCCCAGTGCCCCCAGTACAGCCGGATTCCAGCCTGCCCTGGGCAGGGGTGACAGGGGTGGGTTTGGGCCTGGGGGACAGCCAGGGCTGGCCAGTGGCCATGCCTGTGTGGGCCAGGACAGGGGGGCAGCCCCAGGGCAGGGACAGCTGGGCTCTGCTGTGCTGTTTACCCAGGCTGTAAAGTGAGTCAATGAGTAACTGGCTGAGCAAGGAGAGGGAGGGCTGGCTGCCTCAGAGATCCCCACGAAGGAGAGCTGCTGTGCCCCAGCCGGGATTTGGGACTGGAAGGGTCCCTGCACACCCAGTCTGCCCGTGGGACCCCCCTGTGCTGCTCAGATGGCTGCCCCTGCTGTAGTGATACTTCATTGCTTCTCATAGAATCATTTCCTTTCATCCACACGGCAAGAAAATAAATCTTCCCTTAGAAGAGGTTTATTTGCTAAAAAAGTATGCTGCTCTGAAATGAGGGTGCTCTGCGTGAAACAGCAGCTGTTCCCACCTCTGTCCTCGCCCCACTGGCAGACACAAAGGCTCAGGGCTGTATCCACTCACATCCAGAACGTGCCATGGAGCCAAGGCCTTCACAGTCCTAGAGAAAGAGGCAACAATGGAAGTGTCTTTAAAAGACCCCAAACAAGAGGCCGTGTGTGGCATCCCCCTCGGCCTGGGAGCAGGTCCCACACGGCAGACACCGCTCCTGGCTGTGCCACATGGCTGGACCTGGGGGAAGGCAGGCTGGGCAGGCTGGCTCTGGGGGCTCTGGAGGTTCTGGGGGTTCTGGGGGCTCTGGAGGTTCTGGGGGTTCTGGGGGCTCTGGGGGCTCTGGGGGTTCAGGGTGCAGCCTGCCTCAGCTCTGGGCTCAGCCCATCATCTCCCTGCACCGGGGATTTGCTGCCGGTTCTTGGTGACACCTGAGCTCTGCCGGCTGTGGCTTCGATCATCCTCATCCTCGCCGAGCCTCTGCTCCCCTGCAGCAGACCTCAGCAGGAACAGGAACACCTCGGACATGGGCCTCGTGCTGCCTCCCGAGCTTTCTGACTGCCAGCTCTGCTGCCAGTCCATCACTGAACCGGCCAGGCTGCAGCTCTGGATCTGCGTGAGGAGCAGAGCCCTGGCTGTGCAGGAACCCTGGCTGTGCAGGATCAGAACTGTGCAGGATCAGGGCTGTGCAGGATCAGGGCTGAGCAGGATCAGAGTGTGCAGGATCATAGCGTGCAGGATCAGAGAGTGCAGGATCAGACTGTGCAGGATCAGAGTGTGCAGGATCAGACTGTGCAGGATCAGAGTGTGCAGGATCAGACTGTGCAGGATCAGAGTGTGCAGGATCAGACTGTGCAGGATCAGAGTGTGCAGGATCAGACTGTGCAGGATCAGAGTGTGCAGGATCAGACTGTGCAGGATCAGAGTGTGCAGGATCAGACTGTGCAGGATCAGAGTGTGCAGGATCAGACTGTGCAGGATCAGAGTGTGCAGGATCAGACTGTGCAGGATCAGAGTGTGCAGGATCAGACTGTGCAGGATCAGAGTGTGCAGGATCAGACTGTGCAGGATCAGAGTGTGCAGGATCAGACTGTGCAGGATCAGAGTGTGCAGGATCAGACTGTGCAGGATCAGAGTGTGCAGGATCAGACTGTGCAGGATCAGAGTGTGCAGGATCAGACTGTGCAGGATCAGAGTGTGCAGGATCAGACTGTGCAGGATCAGAGTGTGCAGGATCAGACTGTGCAGGATCAGAGTGTGCAGGATCAGACTGTGCAGGATCAGAGTGTGCAGGATCAGACTGTGCAGGATCAGAGTGTGCAGGATCAGACTGTGCAGGATCAGAGTGTGCAGGATCAGACTGTGCAGGATCAGAGTGTGCAGGATCAGACTGTGCAGGATCAGAGTGTGCAGGATCAGACTGTGCAGGATCAGAGTGTGCAGGATCAGACTGTGCAGGATCAGAGTGTGCAGGATCAGACTGTGCAGGATCAGAGTGTGCAGGATCAGACTGTGCAGGATCAGAGTGTGCAGGATCCCTGGCTGTTCAGGATCAGGGCTCAGGCAGCCTCCTCAGCACCATGAACACACTGCAGCAGCTTGGATGGGAGAGGGGACACCTCCAGCACTAAAAGGCACCCTACAAGAGAGATGGAGAATGTGGACTTTGAACAAGAGTCTGCAGTGATGGGACAAGGGGGAATGGCTTCCCAGTGTCAGCAGGCAGGGCTGGATGGGATATGGGGCAGGAATTGCTCCCTGGCAGGGTGGGCAGGCCCTGGCACAGGTGCCCAGAGCAGCTGGGGCTGCCCCTGGATCCCTGGCAGTGCCCAAGGCCAGGCTGGTGTTGGGAGCAGCCTGGGATGATGACAGAGGGTTGGAATGGGGTGGGCTTTAAGGTCCCTTCCAGTCCAAACCATTCTGGTATTGTCACACTGTGCAGGCT